CTTCCCCCTTCCCCTCTTCCACTGATATATAAACCACCCCTCCTCCGGCCTGACCAGCCTCCAGAGGTGATGGCCTACCATCTCTACAACTCCTCATCGTTGCACTCGCACTCGCAATTGTAGTCGCAGTCACACGCTTCTGATCCCTCACCTTCGTGTCTCACGGATACTCGTACGGAACTGACGCATTATTTACGTCGACCCCATCTCGCCGGCCCAGCGACCAGGTTCCGACCAGACTAGGGACCGCGTCCTGATAAAAAGACCCTGACGACCTCGATAAGTCATAGCGCGCTCGTACCTCAACCCCACTATCTCCCACTCCTGCCCTCGCGCAACACCTGCTGCTCGATGAAGGGCATGCCCTTCGGATTCTTCCCCTGAAAGCTGTGATCTGATATCTGATCACTCGGTCGCGTTCATGATCCGAAAGGCAATCTCATATATATGAGGTACGTTTTTCTGAATTGCTTCAGAAATCTGCCCAGGTGCGGTGCGTCGGATCTGCCTGTGTTCTCTCCAAACCCAACGATCACCAACTACTTCCTCTCGGTCCAGGTATTCCGCCTAACCAAACCACTCACAGCATAGAAGAATGGCCTTCAACTCACAACCAGGTCCGTCAAGCCAGGGCATGCAAGGCGTCTCATACCCGAACTATGGCAGTCCTTCAACCATGCAGCATCGTGCAACGAACCCGCACTTTCGACATTTCGAGTGGTATGAGGAATTCAAGAGCTGCCGGCGATACTTCTTAGACGTGGCTCAACACTCCGACCCCGTTCAAAGTCTAGCCGCGTTCTTAAACATCCAACTACCTTTTCAGAAGCAGCCCAACCCCGTCATGTCATCAAATTCTCCTTCCCCACGTGCCGCCGGTCCAGAAATGGGAGGACATATGGGACAGCCACGATTTGGAGGAAGCCAGAATACAGGGCAGGCTCAAGCGTGCTCACTGATCCCTTACATAAGGAGATTGATAGTGACGGGTTATGATTCGCCTCTCATATTACATGGGTTCTTTGGTGACGATTGGGTTGCTGGAGTGGGATCTTTACACGAGATTGAACGAAGAAACTATTTGTTTGCAGCAAAGAGTACCAGCTGGATGAAGGTCAAACAGGCATATGATATGTCGCCCCAAGAAACAGTCCCATTTTTGAAACCCTTAGTCGATGTGTCGGAAGTGGAAATACAAGCGGCCGAGTCGTCATGGAGCGAATGGTTGGCTATGCAGGATTGGATGTTGGGTCCACGAGCGCCTGAGACGATGAACCATTCTCCTCATGTGAAGAGGGAACCGGATGAATAATTATATGGTGGGAATTGCCTATTTGAACACTGGAATGCATAGGAACGTGGCACGATTTATGAATTGTCTGAATACCTGTATTTGAAGTTGGGAACTTGTTTGGCTGGGGATTTTTTGGCTGGAACAGGGGAGTCCGTGCGGTACAGCGCGCGAGTTATTAGACTCTAATGCATCATCGGTTGAATGCAATTTTTTTTCCATCAGATGATTCATAGTACATTTTTGATTTTGGAAAAACCCAATTGATTCAGAAGTGAACTTGGTACATGTGTTAGGGTGTAGTTGGTGAATGTGGATTGTTAAGTACAAGTACAGTACTCAAGTACACGGCTGAACTGTAAGGCTGTGAGATCAGCCACCGATTTCCAGCCAACGTCCCCTCATTCACTCTTGAATTCCTGCATCATTATTCACAACTACAAGTACCCCTCCATCACATTGAATTTAACCAAAAATGCTTGTGCCAAATTGGATTGTATCGTTCTCAACTCCACACTAAACCGCCCAAAAAAACAAGCACGATGTCTGCTGTCACAGCCTGGCAAACATTCCTCAATCACAGCCTTGCGACTCGTCTGGAACCTGAGAAATTCGAGTCCTTCGTCCAAATACTCGAGTCCAAGAACCGATTATTCCCGGCGCACATCAGTGATATCGTCCTTCGGCCTACGAAATCGAGAATCGCATCGCCTGACCCCCGAGTCCCACGATATGTGCAGAGCTTGCTGGTGTTGAAGTTGGTGACCGTACCAAGTGTTCTGAGAGCTCTTTTACGGTATTCGACTGCGTCCGGAGTCAATGATAATGCGCAGGATTTGACAGATAATGCGGAGGGTAAGGATGGAGAGGATGAGGAGATACCCAAGCGGTGGAGGAATTCTTATGCGACGGAGGAGATGCTCTTTTACCGATTGGCGAAGATTATCGCTTCTGGAACGGCGCCTAAGGATATGCAGGAGGCTAGCGAGTTGATTCTTGTGCTGATACAATGGATGGAGATCATTTTGACTGCGTATAATGCTGCACAAGGCATGTTGGAGCTGGGTGGGGGACATATGGAGGAATTGAGCGCTCAGATTATGGCTTTGGGGACATTGGTCATTGCTGCGGTTGAGAATCAAAGGGTTCTGGAAGTCATTGGCAAAGGGAAAGTTCCATTGGGGAAAGGAAAAGAGATATCGAAAGTTTTGTCTAATTTTGTTCCGACACTGCTACAGGGCAGCCCGCAAAATGCTACGAGATTGGAGGTTTTTAGGACGCAGACTTTGATTGCTTTGGAGCCGGTGGAGAAGAAAGATACATCGGCGAATAAGGAAATTGATGAAATGCTGGATGATAGTATGGGGCTGGGGAATATTGATAGTATCGCGGTTGTAGAATTACCAATGGTAAATTCGAGAGCTGGGTTGTACATTTATCTAAATTCTTTAGTGGGTTTTCTAATTTCCTTTTCTGTACGAGTAAAGGTATAAATACTGACCATTCCTAGCTTGTTGGACGACCTCTGATTGATGATTCTGCGATTTTTGCATATTTACACGCACGGTATCAAGTAAGTTTTACCTCGAAAATCCTCGAAGCTCAACTAATCATTCCAGGGTGATACCCAATCTACCATCGTAGATCTTATTCTTGCTTCTTTTGACATTTTGGCTGATGCTACATCTCGTAATGAACGTGCACCAATGATATCCATTTTACGGTCTTTTCTCATTAACAAAATACCTCTCCTTTTATCAACCCTATCCGCTACATTATACCCACCACTGACTTCAGAAAGCTGCATTACATTAGCTCTGGAGCATGTCGACATCAATCTCTTCCCAACTTTATCGAACATGTTTGACGAATCTAGTACGGGAAATATGTTTTCTGATTCAGTGCGGCAAGACTTTTGTTTCGCTTGCTGTCTTCATGGGTTGATTGAGGAATCAAGTATTGAAGGTTTGCTCGGTGACATTCCAATGCAAAGTTTACCTGCGGGTGGGAGATATGTGAAAGAGGATTTGGTTCAACAATGCTTGTCTGACCCAAGGAGAGCGGAGGGGTTGATTGATGAGCTAGAGCATATGGATGGAAACGTTGGAGCTGTCAGTCAAGCGATGACCGAGGTCAGCCGAGCCCCTTATTTCAGGAGATACTCGCTAATTGAATTAGGTCATTGGACGACTGTGTGGGAACAAAGACACCATGACACTCAAAGGACTTTGTGGTCAGTTGGCGAGAAAACCATCATCGCTCGATGTCATGTTACTATTCGACAAGCCCACTACAATTCTTCAGCCAATCTACGATTTACTCGATAATTGGAGATATGACGATGATCAGGGGGAATATCAACCTGTTTACGAGGAATTTGGATCGATACTGCTTCTGGTTCTTTCTTTCACACATAGATATGGTTTATCTACCGTGGATCTAGGCATTCGCTCTACAGACTCATTTGTTGCTAAGCTTCTAAATCAGGGTCATTTGAGTCGCGCCATGGAGGATCTCACAGAGCAAGAAACCAACCATCTTGATGGTTGGATTAAAGGATTATTTGACAATGAGAGCGGAGGTCTTGGTGACGAACTGATGTCTTCTTGTCCCCCTCAAGACTTTTATCTTCTCGTGCCAACATTATTTCATCACATTGTTCTTGCATGTGCCACGAAGAATCTTGCTGAAGAGGGTCTGAAAGGAGGACTCGAATATCTCATCGATACCTTCCTCTTGCCTTCTCTGATACCCGGCATTACCTGGCTTTCTGCACATCTCTGGGAATCTAGGGGTGACGCAAACGCCGTTCTTCAAATCCTCTCCGCCCTCATCACGGAGCAAAGATCCATCTCAAATAATACAGAAGCATCACAAATGCTCAATTCAATCCTCAACATCGTCGCCAAAAATCTTGAACACAGTCTTCGTTGGCTCCAACGCGTCGAGCCCACCCGACAAGATGTTGAGCCTCTCTCTCGAGCCCTCCGCTCCAATCTAGGCTGGGAAAGAAGAGCAGCAAGTGAACACACCGAGCTAGAAACTTGGACCAACGGCGGAATCATACCCACAATCCGCAGCACAATATCCAACCTCGTCCAATGGGGGGAAAGTCAAAACGTCGGTGGTAACCCAGCAAACTACACCCACCGTCTCCTCCTCGTCGCCGTCAAAATGTGCGGTGCAAAACGTGTGCTCCAATCTATCATCGAAGAAGTCAAGGAGTCGGGCAGTAGCGGTGTCGTTATCGACGTAGCCACAGCCCTCATCTGCGCCCCCGACGGCGAAAGTTGGGATCCCACCGGCACAACAGGAAGCACCATCCAACGCCGCCTCACCCTCCGCGAAGCCCTCAAATTCGAAGCCGAAGCCATGGTCAAAGTCCACGCCACCGATCCCTTCCACGCTGAAACCGTCATCCGTCTCTACCGTAAAATCGAGGCGCAGGCCGCACTGCCCATCATGTCGAATGTTGTCGTGGATGGGGTTATGGGCCCGGGTGTTAGTGTGGGGGGGATGGAGGGCATGGAGGGGATGAATGATGGGGGGATTATGGGGGAAGGTATGGGGATGGGGGAGGGATTGGGGATGGGAGAGGGGATGGGACTTGTGGGCGAGGGGTTGGAGATTGATCATGGGGATTTGATGAGTGGGCTTATGGGGGGCGGGCATGCGGGTAGGGGGGATTTGTTGGAGGGGTTTGAGGGGTTGGGGGATGGGATGGGGTTTTAGTTTTAGGGTGTGGGAGAGGGGGCGTGGGCTGAGAGGGGAGGGGGAGAGGGGAAAGGGAGGGGAAGGGGGTATTGGTTGGATTTATCTAGATTGTGGGGGATTTTAGGATATGATATCTTTTATACGCTATTTTTTGTTTATTCGAGCTTGCTTTTCATGTTCTCTATAAGTCCTTCTCATTTACTATTTTACATATCCTGCCCTACCTACCCTACCTCCCTATACCAAAACACTCCCCCCGCCTATCCTCCTAGATCTGGTAAGTCACAGTACTTTTCTTATACTATTCTTATGCTATCTTACTACCTCCTTCCACCTCATCTTAACTATAACTGTGTTAGTATACTGTGTCTTATCTATGACTCTATGACTTTGTAATACTGTTTTCGTTGAATGGTAGGGATTTTCTGTTGGTTTGATTTGGTTTGGTTTGGTTTGGTTTGGTTTGGTTTGGTTTGGTTTGGTTTGGTTTGGTTTGGTGTATATTGGAAGGTTGTTAAGTGTCGCTAGCAATATAAAAGGCCAGGGTGCCAGAAGAGCTATATTCAGATGAATAGGGAGCTAATGACTGCGGGCAGAAGTCTAGCATATACCCTCCCTTTGTTGTACACTCCTGTTCCATTCCATACATATAGGTTCCGTGCGGTGGAAACCACTGACTGGTTAGTATAAAACTGGCGACATGCCCCTTTCCATCGCCATAGAAACAAAGAAGACAGACCTCTTGAAACAAATAAGTGAGACTCCTCACAAAAACTAAGTCGACTAATAAAATTTAAATCCTTACCACACACCCCTTTTCCATTAATCCTACTCCTGTACTCTGAGGAGCATTCTGGGATTCGTAGGGTAGCTGGGTGTTTGTCTGTTAGGGAACTGATTCTTGTGATTTTTATGACTTTGCGCAGGCGAGGCGTGACTTTGGAGTTGATTTTGACTTTGATTTTAGAAGTAGCGAGACTGAGATACTTACGAATCCGCACTTGTCTAACCGGGACGTGTCTCTATCGAGAGAGGACTTGCTGGCTTGGTGTTACAGTAGGTAAGTCCGCCGAAACCGAGAGACGCGTGAATATGACTTCCCATAATGCTGGGTAAGCGATTCGATTCCACCAAAACTGTGGGATGCGTGTGAACCTGACTTCCCAAACGTGTCCGCTCCTGGCTCCTGTTGCTCTGATTAGCACACACTCTGGTTTAAATTGGCACAGGTCCTGGCTCTTTGCTCTGGCGCTGCACCGGCTCTCTTGCGCTGGCGTATTAGACGAAAAAGGACGAAGTGGTAAAGTATCTTCAACTAGACGAACAAACCAGCCTCCTCTCCAGGAGTCAAATGCACTTCCAACACCCAAGCTTCGACTGGAGCTCATAGCCTGTTGAATAGGATATGTGGAATGCCAGGGAATCCAGCATGGTAGAATAAGAATTGTATTGAATAAAGTAAGGAGACAATAACTAAGAGAGCGAACGAGAACTATATATAATAGTGTCTCCTTTGAAGGTCGCACGAGAGACTGAAACCTGAATAAGACTTGTTCTACCTTGGTGCATATGGTAGAAACAAGTGTCAGTATAAACCTGATAACACTTATTATTTTGAAGGTTATGTTTTAGCACGTAGCTAGCTGGGTATGAAATAATTTCGTATCGCCCCATCTTAAATATACTGGGTGGTGAATTCTATATCAAAGATATTAAAGTGTTGAATGAGTTTTTGAAAGGGTTGAGATGTATTGTGGGATAGATAAAGGTATGATAGATAGAAGGTGTTTAGAGAGTATGGCTGTGTTCTTATACTTGGGTAGCTTAGGAAATATAGATATATGTATAGAAAGAGGAGGTGGGCTAAGGGTTTAGAGATAGCGTTTACAGTAGTTAGATAGTTTGAGATAGGTGAAGGGGTAGGAGGAGAGGAGGTTGGGAAAACAGGGAGGTGTATCATGTGTGTTTCTTTTCAGTAAAGGTCTATGAACAAATTTCCATATAGCAGGATGGAAGACCTCGTGGGCTGCAGCGGGCTGTTACCACTGTAAGATCTTACCTAATTATTACAAGTGACCGACTTCAAAACGCCTTGCTCCCTCATATACTCTTACACCAAACCAGTCGCCCAAGCAACTGCTCCTAGATCATGTTCAATCCTTTCATCGAATTAAAGGCAAGGCGTTTTGTAGGTTGCCATAACCTCTTCTTCCCATCAAAATGAACATATGCTGCACCAGCAAGGAGTCCAGTAAGATGAGCCGCGTGAGCGAATTTGATGTACGGGAACCCAAACACAGTCCCCCAAGTCTCAAAAGCAATCATATACATCAGAGCCTCCCCAGCCGGAAGACTCCCAGGAAGCAACATGATCCCAAAGCGATGATCTGGATAGACCATCGCCCACACGCCAATAAGACCCATAATGGCACCACTTGCGCCCAAGGCAGGCACAAACCTGGCAGAGCTCCTCGGCACCGCAGCCCTGAGGTGCTGGCCCAAACTTGCAAATAAGCCCGTGGAAAGGTAGAAAGCGGTCAGATGACTGCCGCTGGACGTGAAAGTTGGGCTTTCGGCGACGGTATACCCAAAGCTGAAGAGAGCAAGCATGTTGAAAGCCAGGTGTAGAGCCCCCAAATGGCCGAATGTCGAAGTCAACATGGTGAAATTGCGCCCGCTAGCTGGGACGTGTACCAATGTCATAATCGTCCGTGGAACGGCGCGCGCGATACCGAAGATACCAAGGTTTAAAGCACCAATTGCGAAGAGCGCTTTTTCTGCGCCGGTGAGGTCTCCGAGGAGCCCAGTTCCAGTTGTACTAGAGCCATATGAGGCGAGGTTGGTCCCTTTGACCGTGAGCGGACCTGGACGTCCTTTGCTTTCCTGGACCTCCTGGTAGGTTTCGTATGTTGCGCAGCCCACGTAGATGATACCAGCAACGCCAAAACACCACAGTTTTGGACCCAGCACTCGAACTGGTGGCAGGATTTCTCGAGGGAAGTAGAATTTGGGTATGTGTGGGTGCTTGGACGAGAATGGTCGTCGCTTGCCAAGACGAGGGGCTAGCTTCACGCGTCGGATCGCGTGGTGGGAATGGAGCATTGCTCGTGTGAGCGTGCTGGCCGGCCCTCTCATTGATCTTTAAATGAGTGAGTTGGGAAGTTTATGAGGTGAGGTGTAAATGTGGAACTTAGTAGGATGATACTGTACGAACCCAGTCAGAATAATCCAATGAGGGAAAAGTCGAAAACTATGAAATCACGTGATTTTGGTTGGAATTATGGAGAAAGTTGATTGGCTGAGTGTTATTCTAGCTTACTGTATATGAAATCATAATTAGTTTTTGGAATTTACTTTGTTACGGTTCAATAATAACTAAATTCATGATCCACACGTTGAATAGCGGATTATAGAATGCCAGACCCTCTCTTGTTAGTGAAAGACACACTATTGGAAAACAAACTCATATCCTCGCTTAGCACATACATATTACAGTTACCACTTGACATAGCGAAAGAAATGAGTGAGGCAAGTTAAGTAGTAGCACCTACTTAACTCATACCTAGGTGCTTAACGCATAGTACTTAGTACCGTGTTAATTAAGTTATAGGAGTATAATTCCTTTCTCGATAGGATATTATTGTAAGAAACCTGGCCATTGCTCTGTACACTCTATCAAAAGTCATTATGGTATAAGTCTGGGACAATTACATCAATTGGCGATAAGAAAATTGCCCCGGGAAGCCGCGAGAAGCATTGGACATGCAAGCGTGGTTGATTCATGAAGCGAGTGACCAGACACCATAGCATTTGGGACCCTCTATTTGATTTATTGAAGAGGACGGAATACAGATAGACTAAATTATCCTACTCACTCGGGCCTCGGCCGCTAGTATGTGTAAGTATGCCATTGTCACTTTTTGAAACGAAAGAATCACTCACATATTGGGAAGCTGCAGGTGCATCCCCCCTCCTGGCCTGTGGCTTAAAGGAGGCGCTGTCTCTATGGCCGTGTAATTACCGAAGTGTAATAGCTCTTTCGCATCTTGTCCTCCGAAGAGCCTGGAAAGACTCTTTAAAGAGCAGATGACGTTTTCGTAGTTTTCGAGTGATTTCCATCGTCAACTTTTCCTTGGTAGATATATCTGAATTGTCATACTGTACATCCGGAGTACCCCTACAAGCACAAGCCCGTGCCTTTTCACAGAGTAGTAGCTCCCCCGGCTTTACTGCTTTCGTGGTGAAAAGACCTTTGACATCTTGATTGCAACAATCCTTCAATACCGCAGACCCCTGGCAAAATTTGCAAAATCCAAATCTGGCGGTGGTCGAATGGTCTCGTTCATTTTGTTGAGTCTATTTTCTTCCTTCAAAAAGATATCCCAATCATAGCATCCTTTTTTCTGCTCGGCAAGTCGGGTATCAAGTCAAAGAAGCTGAGGATTTTTAATCACAAATTCCGGGAGCTGTTTACTCAGCAGCTTGAGTGGGTAGTTGCATGCCGTGAACTTTCGCATGCCATACAAGCCAAAGCCGCTCGGTATCCCTTACTCTGTAACAAGCACACTACCGGTAGGAACTTAAGCGACAATACTAACGCTAAACCTAATTAGGCCATGCTAAGTATTAAAATAGAACATCTTGTTAGAAGTAGGATAATAGATAGGAACTAACTTACTTTGATAGTGTACTAAGGGTTCGAGGATCTATGGAATATATCGCGCTATTAGACTAGGGACGAAAGGTACGCGAAAAATTATATGCTTATTAATCGAGTATATACTTTATCCTAGGCGACAATATTCTATACATTATATAATTAATTATCCCTTCTAGACTATAGAGTAGTAAATAAAACGTATACTCCTAGATAGAAGTAGATATAATAACTAGGTTAATTTAAGGCTTAAATACTTAGAAATATAATATAGTTAGCTAGACGCTTTTATTTTACTGAGAAAATACTATAAAAGTAGACACCTTTACTCTACCTAGGAGTATACGTTTTTTTTACTACTTTATAGTCTAGAAGGGATATACGTTTTAGCTAGTTTCTAAGGTGTTTTTATAGTAGTACTAAGTAATTTAGGTGTGTAGGCGTAGTAGGCCAAATATGAATCTAATAGACTAACTTTAATACTAAGAATCTGTTCCTACCGGTAGTGTACTTGTTACGGAGTAAGGGATATGGCCAATTTAGATATGACTGCTTTCGGATTGTTGAGGGGAACGCTTTGAGTATCTTATAGAGCCACTTCAAAACTTTTATCTCGCAAATATGCAAGGGCACGATTTTGGCGGATATCATCGTATTCTTCAGGAGAGGGATTACTCGCAAAGCGGCTAAGTAACTAGATGATTTCATACAAATCAGTAAAAAAGTCTTCGTTCGGTTCGAAAAGGTGTTACTGTATCCACCAATCTATAGCCTCGCACCGATTCTTTTTCTGTATAGCCTCATTTCCTTCCTGCTTCCAATCATCAGCAGTGGCGACCGAGTTGCCACACTGCGAAATCTTCCACTGTTTCGGATACGATTTGTAATCCATAACAAGCGGCACAATATCTCTTGCATAATCGACATGCAGACCAAAACCATCCACCAACAAACGCTTGAAAGAAGGCTTCTTGACAAGTAAGGTAACGACTTCTTTGATCGAGGCCCGGCAGATGAGATCTTCTTGCGTTATACCTTCAGGTCGACCATCCATATTGATATACTTCTGCAAAGAGATCTGATCTCTTCTCTCGTCTTCTGCCACCGCCAGGAGTCCGTCCATGCTTTCTGACATGTTTTGGGTTCTTGGTTTGGCGAGGATTGGGGTGGTTCCGCTCTCGACTTTTGCTTTTTGGGGGACGGCGCTGATGCTCGAGGAGATGGTGAGTGGATTCAGGAAACCAATTGTTAAGCCGTCCATTTTCAAGCCAGATGAAATAAAGCAGAGCAGTTTCAGAGGATGTTGAGCATATTCTGGCATTCACTCCCATATGAAATTAGGTGGCGTACTATTTATATCATGGACCTATACTATAGATAGCTTCTTTTCTTCTTAGTAGTCTATAATATAACAATAAGCTATATTCGAGTTTTCCTAACGCGTGCAACAGAGGATATAGAACGAGCAGACTGAAGACTGAGTTTTTTTGTTCGAGTCTTGGTGGGATAGAAGACTGAGTTGTGCCGAGGGCGAGTCTGTTTGCTATAGTGCCTAGAAATATAATTGAAATAATCTGGGCCAATCGTCCTTCGCCCTTTTAGGACTATAAACAGGAGAGACTCCCAGAGTGTTGCCTAAGATTCTTTTCACTAAGAAACCAGTTTTTGAACTTCATTGGCAAACGAGATTTGTTAGGCTACCTGCATGAAGCTTCTCATTCGCGTGTTAGTATCTGTGAAACCTCAGATTTGACGCAAGGTAAACATAATGAAAAGAAAGTATTTCAAATTATTCATCAGAGGAACTAAATTGATCCAAATAAAGTGCTTCGAAAATCTTCAAGATGGTATGCGCGGAATTCCATTTCCTGCTTGTATGGCAAGGTAAGTCCTAAAGTCTCAAGTTTCCAAGAAGGTTGAGATGTATTTCAGGCAACCACGTGACCTGTTCGCTTTCTTGATTTAATAGGAGAAAACAAATACAAACGAGTTTTAGGGTTGAAGGAAGAGTTCACTAGTAGGGCGGAATATCTAGTGAATCCTCAATTCCAAGACACCTGGAAACAGGGAACCCCTCTGGTAGTCGAACATATTTTCGCGTTGCATTTGAATTTTGACATAATGCCCACACGTCCCTTTTGCAAACTAACTTGTATATCTTTGATACATACTATATCGCTGAAGATATACTAAACAGACACACACAATCTTGGTTAGGTGCACACCAAAAAACCTCAACTAGCCAGAAATGGAGACAAAAGTGCAACAACATTCTCAGGAAGGAGAAGAAATGGAACATGGCTATATTCCAATTGCCTTGGATATATCTGGAGAACAAACAATACGTACCGCAGCCGAGAACCTTCCTTCTCCTGACGAACTAGGTGAAGTTCAAGCCCCACGCCATACCGAATTCGAAAACCTGATCCACCAATCCAGGGAACTCGATTTTGCAGATCTTATTAAGCATGTTGACGAACTCGTTCAAGATATAAGAAGTCCTGGATTCGGCAACTCCACACTGCGTGCCACAACAAGTGACGAGACAATAAACAACCCCTTAAGCGAGCCGTTGGTCAAGCCGTACCCTTCAAATACACCACACACCGAAGGTTCGTCCGAAAGTCCAGAGATGTTATATCCGACAGTTTATTCCTCCCGTATCGAAGGAGCAGAAGAGAAAGGTCGGATTAGTGGCGAAGAAGGAAATTGTGGATGAAGGAGTGGAATCTGATGATACCATCAAGGCCGTGAAACAAAATGCCGTTTCTCCTGCCCTTCTGAGGACTCGGGTCAGAAGTGGAACACATTATAAAGCAAAACCATATGGACTAGGACTAACCAGAGATGAGGATATCTCAGGGATTCAAGGTGAAGGAGAAACAATCGGGCTCGTCCCAATCCATGAAGGAATCGATACTGATAATCAGGATGGTGGAGGAGATGCACGATCTCTTTTCGCAAGATTAACACTCGGCAATCCTATCCCCAAATTTGACTTTCCAACCGAGAAAATCAAACCTACAAGAAGGGCGAGACAGAGACAAGGAGGTGGCTACTATGGAATGGCAGTAGGATATCAAGATAAAGAAGGTCAGAACTTGGGTGGCATATACCCGACGAAGGGTAACGAGTGGATGTTTGAGGATAGCAGCGATGGGGAAGATGAGGAAGACAAGAAGGACTCAACACGTATAGGCTTGGGGATTATAGGTGCGGGCTTGGAACAAAGTTGGGTCAAAGATGGAGGCTGTAGTCACTCAGATTGCTCCAGTAAAGGGCCAGAACCAATTGTCAAAGAAGCTAGGAAATTGAGAAAGAAGCTGGTAAAGAGATAACCATGACTTGGTCAGCTGGTTGGTTGAGAATTGGAGAGGTTCACAGAAGTCTGGTTGTAGCAACTTGTGCAGATAATCTACCAATTACATTTCGGAGTATTCTTAATATTCACAAATGACTCGCAATTTGTAGTAAGAATCAGATCAGCTACTGAGTAGCTCTTAATTCTAAAAATCTGTTCCTTCATTACTTCCTGAATGGACTGCAACAAATATGGCTTTTTAGTACAGCTGATTCCAACAATGACTTCTATTTACTGGAGACGATCTCAATCTAAATAGGGATAATCACCCAATTTAAGCAGACAGTTTATCGGTGAGTCTTACGGTAGAAAATGAGATGCTGCTATAATTTCAACTGAACCACAACCATATCTTTATTAGAATATCAGTCAGTTTATGTTGGATCTGTCAGTATACTTCTCCTTCCCCTTGCTTTCTTATGATTTTCTTTTTGGCAACTCAATATATTATAATCTAGTGAAAGCACGCCGTACCTAAATGTTTTGAGGCACATACGTAAAGAGGGTGTGGATATTCCAAAGGTTCGTACACAAGTCCACCTTACAGGTGTGAATGATATTTTGTAATTAACAATCCTTCCTGAGAAGGTTCACTCTAAATTTGTAGACGTTTTGATGAAACTATGGTTGCAGGACTGGTCACAGGAAGGTTGATTGTTGCTATGGATTCCAACCCCTGTTCTATACCACAAAATTTCCGTCTTTTCTTGAACCAGCACGATAATATCACAACATCAACCTTCCTTTAGCAAATATACTGCAAAGATCTTAACTTTACGACAACTCCACCATGTCCATCTATAACAACATCAGTGTCCGCCACCGCCTTTCAGCATGCTCCATTCATGTAGGGCCATTAAGCAAAGGCTCCAGAAAGTCATTTGGCTTGAGTCTCCATCAACCTTCTGCTAAAGCAGGCCTTAGAAAACGTAATGTTCAGCCAGCTTCTCGGGCTAATTTTGGGCTCGAATCTGCTGTGATGGGTCCTGATAACTACAAGTTGAACCCATTCATTCCACGATATCTCAACATCTCACCAAATATCGACAAATACAACACTTTACGAGGTTGCGAGACACAAGAGCTTGTCGAGATGGCTGCAGATGGAAGCGAAGATTATATTGAGCTTTTATTTGAGTTACACCGACGAGCCTCAAATTACCTTTACTACATGGGCGGCAAGATGGCATCCTACGACGTAAGTTTGAGTTCCTGGCAAGTTCGGTTGTCATATAGACGAGAAGAATAGCAGCAAGACAGAAGAAATCTGGTTATGGAATACATAGAGAAATGGAAGTTTGGGAAAATCTACGGCGTTGACTCAGAAGACGATCTACAGAGCCGCAAAGATATTTGATTGGAATTTGAGTTGGGCAAGGCAAGGGTAACTCTCATGATAAGTGGATTGGGGGGGAGGGGGTTGTAATTTTGTTATTGGCAGGCGAGGATATGATAGTCATCTCTTGTGAATAGAGATGCCTCCAAAAGCCATCATTGAGAAGTGCGGCAACGCTTTTGGTTAGTAGTAATCACATACACGCAAGGTTGTCTGTCGAATGTCTATAGACAATGCCATCATTTTCACAATATCCATGCTGCTAGTGAAGTTTTCAGTTTTCAGTTTTCATTTGTTTTCTTATACTCCCTTCAAAAATACGGTAAATCTAGAAAATAGATGCAGATGATAACTCTTAACCAATTTTCACTGATCATGTTTGAAGTTCATCTCAGAATTGGCTGAAATAGATTTGTGCTGCAATAACTGCAGGATACATTGGTAACTCTAAACTCTTAACAACAGGTTCCATTAATGTTTTCAGGTTGAATCCAATCAGAAATCTTACTCTGACTGTATGACTGAGTCAAGCATAGCATGACCCTGCTAGAAGTGTTATCAAGTCAAACTACACTATGCTGATGTTTCGTATCACGTATCTACCAATTATTCACCTCGTTGAGATTCCGTGTTTTTGGGCCTTTTGGATATTATGTTCAGTAGCATCTTGCAGAACCGTTCTACTTCATCCAAAAATCCTCACAAACGATGCTTCTTTCATTTTGGGACCATCCATGGCCTCAAAAAAGAGCCCAAGGTTCTACAAGATTACCTACCATATGTCTCCATTTTCACTTCGAAGGCCCCGCCCAAAGCCAGCCTCGTATTTAGCACTGGAACTCGAAGGCTTCGTTCTTGCTCAGTTCCATGAGAAGTACGGAACTACGCTCTGCAATATCTTCCTATCGCCATTTCTACCACGCTACCTCAATATCCAACCAAATCACGAAAAAGTAGAGGACTACAGATATCTTACGAACGGGGAACTACGATCTCTCGCAAAGGAGAGTAACCGTGAGGTGGAGTTGTTGTTTGAGCTACATCGCCGGATGGTATACGCTCGTTTGCATGGAGTACCTGATGGCGAGGGCATCCGAGAATTTGATGTGCTTCTTCCCGTCAGCTGGGGTAGTAAACGAAGAAAGAGATGGTTCGGGGAAAGACAAGAGTTGGTTTTGGAGTATGAAAGCAAATGGGACCTACTTCCTGGGTACTCTCCATATATTCGGGATTTCTCGAGTCTCGAGGAACAAGTGGAATTGTATATCTTCAAATTGTCTGCGTGTATTTTCGTATTTATGATATCTCTCAAGTAATGAAGATAGAGCTTAATGTCTGGAATTAAATCGAGCCACTACTCAATGTCAGATATATGCTTGTGGATGAGGAGTTATCGAGTTATGCAAACGTTATCAAAGAAATTTGAAACTCAAAATTGTGTAAGATCTTACCCCTTTCTTGCTGGCTCGCTAAAGTAATAGCAGCCGGTCGGCCAAAAAAGGTCGAATCCTTGGCAGAATCATATGAAACAACTATTCGAAGTTCGCACAATACTTTCTTTCGAATACTACGACATATTCAGTTTGGGACAGTTGTGTTGATGGTATGCGCCAAGTCCATCCCTCCCATTATGAATAATTTTCCATTCACTAAGCCGACGGGCGACCAATCATACGATACACATTCAGTAGCGAGGAACAAAAGGCAGAACTCTCCGTAGTGGTACCACTTCTCCATTCACTTTACGACTGTTGTTAAATATACTTAGACTCCCCGCATAAAAATGACCGCAGCAATCCAAACATAGCCCAACTTGCGCAAAATCACAAACAGATTTACAATCCTAAAATCCACTTCAAACCAAAAGTAAAAAATACCAGATATCCCTTGAAGGTATCCACTTCGAATCCTACACATAACGCATGCCGAATTTTCATGATGGTCGCCGGGAATGACGTCTCCTGTCCTCAACAGACCAAGCAAGTAATGGATAAGGCCCAGGTCGAAAAAGCACTTCGGATAGATGACCAGTTGTGCATTGCACGAGATGGCTATGAATATCAGATTATAGCATTCGAAGACCGACATCTGAACATGGCACCAAACCACAGGAAAATCAGAGAATATTCAACATTGAAGTGGGAAGGGTTGATTTCACTGGTAGTGAAGGCGGAAGTCAAGGACATCGAGTTGCTCGTGGAGTTGCATCGCAATCTTGCAGAATCGTTTTATCTTCAGGAGTACAGAAAAGAGTGGGATCCGGATCCTAATGATTCGGAGTTGCAGGACCGAAGAAGGAGACTTTTACGGGCCTATGATTTGAAGTGGGAAATACAAAGACCTACACTGCTCAAACACATGCAAACTTAGAATTCCTGGTCCTGGGGGAACATGATCAACGATAGGAATACGGCGATATTTTTATCCTGACTGAGGTCTTGATTACTCGTTTAGAAGTCATGCGGGATATCTTTTGGGTAGAGAAGTTACATCACTTCTCTAGGGGGAAAGGATCACTGGAATGGAGTTCTGTACATACGATTTCGTATGTACTGTACATCGTACACATTGAAGGTTATAGAAAGTCCAGCTTCTTCCGGCCCCAAAATAGTGCAAGATCATTATGGCTGAGGCAATTTATGTTGAATATATGGCTATTCACCTTCTACCGTGTAATGTGCCCCCCACCCCACCCCTGTGGAAAAGCAATTAATAGCATCAAGCAGCACAGATAGGCTCTGCTGAATAACAACTTGTTATATGTACTTTTCACTAATAAATAACAAAGCTTGTGTTTTGGATTTAAAATCAGATAAAGCCTTTACCATGTATTATACATGAACTTTTAGTGATTTGATATTGAGAGCCCAAAGAGATAAATCAACAGTATGTGATCTTGGTAACTTTGCAAGTGCACCTGCAATATGTTTTGGGTATTTAGAGGACAATGTGTACATAAACTCTCATGCGATACTGCAGGCTATTTCAAGTACAAGTACTAGTTGAGTCAAGAAGCAGATTTGGAGGACCTTTTTTGAATCATATTTGGTTGGCAATCATGATATATGTCAACGTTCGTTGTGGTGCCATTTATCCATCCAATCACGACTTGATGTCGGTCACTACACATTCACAAAAGCAGATTCAATATAACTAGCATTGAGAAACCTCAAAACACTCTCACACTTCCAGAACTCAACGGAAACGAGACACCTCATAAACCGAAAATCACTGAGATATCTTGGAACAAGAAAGCATACAAGTTTCGAGATACCCAGTTATACGTCATGGGTTTTTTCAGCAATATATTTGGCTGTTCACCACGGGTTTGTCCTTCACAATCACATTATGGACCTGACCACCTCGAGCTTGACTGTCCCCTGATCGAAAATGGAAAGGTCATTCCATTAGAAAAGCGATACTTGAACATACCACCAAGACCTTTCCTAGTCACATATTATCACAACATGGATTTCGCGCAGTTAGTCGAGGCGGCGCGCGCAGGCGTACGGGATAACGAGCTACTGCTGGAGTTGCATCGCCACTTGGTAGAACGAAACTACGAACACCAACGACCAGACCAATGTGACTGTATACCAAGTGACTGGTTCAAGCAGGAGGAGCGGAAGATATCTCTGCTAAATTACGATGAAATTTATGGAGTAAAAAGGCGAAGGCAGCCAGTCAATGCAGGACCCAATTGAACATTGGGAAAGAGCCAAAGAATGGCGCGACATAGGTTGAATCCGGGGCCACAAGGGCGGCAGGGTGATACATTTATGGAGAGGTCATCAAAATATACAGTAACATGCAGGTATTCGGAATTGGGTTGAACATATTTGTGTGGTGAAGCAAGGCGTGGTGGGGCGCTGGAAGGAAGGAGAGACGATGGTCTGTGTTTACCTACCTTGAGAAGCGTTCCTAGGGAGAATGATCAAGTTACATGAAAATAGTGAAAATCACGGTTTTATTTTCTACCAATCTCTTCAAGTGATGGAGAGCAGAGCTCAAAAAATGGAAACATATTGTGATATGGTAGACATTTCACATCTGCAGTGAAAAAAGGGTTCATGGTATTTAAAATGAGTGATATGGTTGCTTAATAATAATGGCCATACAGTAGTTTTAGTGAGATGCTATTATGAAGAATTTAAATTCAGATCTAAGGTAAATAGCCACGACCCAAACCTGTTCTACTTCTAGTTAGTTTCTACATCATAATAAAATCACGTGGTACAAAGCGAAAGATCTTACCTTTAAACTCAGTCCACATTCATTCGCCTAGTGCTCATGATCTGACACTTGTTTCTGGGAAACAGCTTCTCGCTGCGCAGTTGTGGTGAATGCTAAGTAGAGAGAGAGTATTCACGGCCAAGCTGTGAGTAGCCGGGTCCGGACCGTGGCTCATGCCATGATTGTTTGTATAATCCATGAACAATCCAGGCTCCTGGGAAATTATTAATAGTTGCCTTAGACACCCCCCATCCTGATATAAACAAATACCCACCATCCATCCACTCACCCACCCACCCTTCTAAGATGGGACAAGTTCTGAGTTCCTCAACAACCCGTCCTGGGGAAATACAAACTACAGCCTTTGAAAGCGACATGTCTTCATCGGAAAGTGATTTCGCAGACTATCAACCTGCAGAAGACCAGCCTAAGGTGCCCTTAGAATGGCTTCTCCTGGAGTTTATCCAAGTCACTTTTCAACACCCAGCATACAAAGACAACCGCATATTTGCTCACAGCACAGTTGTTCATGCGTACATTATCGCACTCACACTTCAAGCCACCACTGTACCTAGCATCCACCCCAAAAAACGAATGATTGCCCTTCGAGACCTCGCAGTACGTCTTAACCTCAAAGTCAAACCCCGCTCCAACCTCAAGAAAGACGCATTCACATCTCTCACTACGCTCTGTGAGTTCATCAGAAAGACCCTCAAGGACGAGATGAAATGGCTCGAGGGAAAAGAAGCCGAACGAGTAAATAGACCGAGTAACCAAATCGGCGGCCTTTTTCACTATGGTACCGAGCCTGCCAGCAATTTGATAAGACGTGCGGCACGCTTAAGTTATCGTTCCGGCATCGAACTTGAGAGAGTCGAAAAGATTGTGAGGGAGATAATCGAAAGTAGTGAGCTAGAAGGAGTGGAGGAGGTGGCTCCGGATGATTTCCCATCTTGCTTGCCGCAACTCCTTCTACAGAGGGTTCCCGAACCAAACGATATTCCAACAAGCCTCGAAATGGACGAGAACCGCGCTAAAGCATCTCTGGCTATCCTGGAATACCGAGAACGTCTGAAGGTTAGTTCTGAGGAGCTTCTGAAGAGAATGACAACCGATACCAGCACGAAGCGACTACAAGGAGGTGTGGATTTGTTGTGGGGCATCCAGGACGCACATAAGGAGCTGATTGGAAAACTTGAGGCGCTACTGAACACCGAGAATCAAGAGGACGATAAGGTCGCTGATGTGGACTAATTGTTGGTTAATGGAAAGGGGTTCGGTTATTGGTAAGCGACAAACATCATGTTGGGAATGGAATTTCTTTTGTATGTGATATTTCTCTTTGATGCTCAATTTGATACACAGAAGAGTAGAGAATATTCTAGCACCATGTAGTGCCCAATCAATCCAATAACCTTTAAAGCAAAGCTGTCGTGTTGTCGCTCAACACACATTACTAGAGAGACTTCTAATGTGTCCCAGATTCAGGATAAGGTATTTGAGCCGAGAATGCTCCGTTGTTGGTATTGACACAGAAGCATGTGTCTCTTGGCTCTGAGCTTCAGTAGTCTGTGGAAAGTGATCTAAAACAGAGAATGAAACAGCCGAGATACTGTATCTCACAACAACGATCCGTAAAATCGTAAGTAGTCACATACGAGATTTAGTACAAGTACTCTGGCGAAATCCAAAATTCCAGAACTGCAAGTAGAACGATCAATCTACTGAAAGTGATGCTTCATTCAATATTCGGTTGCAAAACTCTAGAAGAGTTGATGTAGCAACAATCATAATTAGTTTCTGCATCCCGTTTTTGGTGCGATGACATTCCTTTACACTGCTGCCTCATTTGCTTATCTCGCACTCCACTGCTTCTCTTCATTGGTGATAGAATGCTAAGTTTTGAGGAACTTAACACGGACTCCCTCAAATAAATCGTAAAACAACGTCCAAAAGACACTGACAAACTGTCAAAAGTCTGATCGTTATTTCACTTCCGATTCTTACTTTGAAGTACAACGGTTCCCCGTTTCATACCACAACACCCTTGTTGAGAGAGTGGACCTCGCTGGGAATGCGACTAACTACGCGGGGATGTGTTTATAAATTTGATACACGTGGTTATGTCATTGCTCAAACACATGAATATATTCATTACTACAAAGTAAAAGAAGTTCAAGCGTGCAAAACATGTTATGTTGTTATGGCCGACCAATCAAACGTGTGGGACTGTCCCTGTCAATACCAAGCTCAAACCTAAGAATTAAGCATTTTGACTGGGCCTTTTGTAACAAACCACCTCTTTCAGCATGGGAAACACTGTTCGTATCCAGGATATTTTTAACCTGGAGAGGCGAATGTATATATTCCCGATTTGCAGCTATGCTGCCAGACGTGTGGAGACATCAACCATCAGACACTCTTCAGAATTTCACTTTCAATCCAACATAGTCCACAAGTCAAATCCGTCATTACCACAAAAGTCCGCGATTAAATATGTTTTTCAATATCCTCGTCGTGGGTGCTCTGTTGTCATCAGTGTCGGCGGTTCCCGCTCCAGCCCCCCAAGCAGGCACACCAGCAACTACCATACAAGGCTACAAGTTTTCGGTAACAGAATTTAAAGTAGGATGTTTCAGGGAAAGTAAACTCAGTTGTACGTATGGTTAGAAGCCTTCCAAGAAATCTTTGTTTTCAAACTAATATCGTTCGTAGGATATGATATTCAGGGCGAAGCATTTGGTTCTGCTCCAGATAGAGTTCCACCCTTCGCCGCCCATTGCGAGAGCGACACTGGAGAAGGTGGTGCCTACGTTGACTGTGGCTTCAAGGATTCAGGAATTGCAAGCAGAAAGGTTGTTGCGAAATTGTCGCCCACAGACCAGTGTAAACTTGATACTGTTGGTCTCCAAGTTAGCTACCGGTTCAATTCGCAGGATGAGACGTAAGTACATTGATTGCAGTTATGTTGTAACCGAAGAAGGGACTAACGAAATACAGAAACACAGCTTGGAATCTTACGGGTAGCACGCGGGCTGCTTTCAACATAGATGCACGAAGTTTCACGATTGATGCTACTTCGAGTGAGAAGCTGAAGATATAAGCTCCAAAAAGGGAACGAATGTGGATTTGAAGGAATACGGAACATGGGTTTACTATAAAAACTGGAAGACATGAGATCAATGATATAAATTAAACTTGAAGACCTGCTCATATACTTCACGTGATTATCATACACAAAACCACAGTTGGAAGTGCAAATTGAAAATCAACGAGTCGATTGTATACCCCATCAACGACCACAAAAGCGCCCTATGATGTCTCCACCATATGCTCTCAGACTTTTCCACCAAGCGGCCCCATCACCAACTGTCTCCTTCACGTCTTCGCGCTTCACTTCATCAACTTCATGAATGATATCCAATTGACTGACTGTACTCGGCAATCGTGACAACCGATTTTCCTTAGAGGGAGCCGATTCAACGACAACTGCCTCGGTCGAAGTCGGTGGCTTGGGCTCAGCGTTGGAACGACGTCGCGTGTGCGATGTGACCCGCTTGCGTAGCTGTGGTATTGTTGACATTGGATGGGATAATGGTTTCGTAATATAATGGCTTCGCCTGGGGGTTGAGATGGGTTAAGTGCTGGAACCACCATTCATGCTTGAGTATTGTGGCTGATGAAGAAGAGATACTTGTCAAAGAAACAAATAAAAAACAATTTATTTGGTTTGGACGAAAGATTTCAAACCTGGAAAATAAATCGTTGTGAATCATGCAGTGTACAAGTTGCGGACGTAATACAGACCAAGCTCCGGGAGAGATAGAAGCTGATGACTCTAATGGGATAAGAGACTTCGGGAGTCAGCTCAAGTGCTTCAAGGCTGAAATACTATCACGAGAATTGCGCGTTGATTTTGGTGTACAGACTAGAGGTAAAGAAATGGTATCTTCCGTCGCAAAATATCTATCATCCTTTTCGCTGTCTCCGTGCCATACGCTTCTTTTGAATGATTTGCGCCCGTTTTGCCATACGTCCGTCATCACCTGGTGGTGAACCTGACTTGGCAGGTGCAACAGGCTTCTTATTCCGTCCACCCGCAGTCGTTTCTTGGCCTTTACCACCAGGTGATTTTGGGTTATGAGGAACCCGATCAAAAGATTTTTCGGGTTTTACAGGAGCGAGCGGACCACGGCCTTGCTTCCCAACCATTCCTTTACGGGTCTTTGCCATGATTGTATCTTTGCGCAAGACCTTCTTTTCCTTCGGTGGGGCTTCCCCCTTTTCTCGAAGCTCGACAACTTCCTTCGATCGAGTTCTAGCCTTTTCTTCTCGTTCCTTTCTTCGTGACACAACTTGTGCGTTCTCGATAGCGAATTCGACAATCAAGCGTTGCTTCTTCCCACTTCCACTTTCAAGTGCATGTCCATTCAACCATCTCAAACCCATCAACGCCCATCGATGTGAACTATACTCAACAAATCCATAACCACGACTTCGACCAGCGCCACTCTCTTCGCTAACTTTTGCACCCTCTCGGCCTTCGAAAACGATTTTCGCCTGACGAACGATACCCTTGCCCTTTGATTTTCTCTGCTTCTCTGCCTCGCGCATCTCATCACCCCCACGTGCTTCTTCTTCCTTAGAAAGTTGCGCACGAAGGCCGGACTTGACATCTTTGGCAAAGCCAACAACGGCTTCTCTGGCGAGTGCTTTGAGTGCCTTAGAATCGATGTTCCGGGGAAGATTACGTATTGAAAGCCGTGTTAGACTTAGGTGTAGAGTTGGATTATTTTGAATAAGTTTCTTCCGTTGCATGGCACTATCTTCTCTCATTTTAACCTCGGATGGAGCAAGTGCATCGTACAATGCGGTGCCTTTTGCGACAGTGCCTTCTGATAAAAGATACAACTTTCGCTTATCTTTGTCCCTGTCAGTTCGGAAGTTTGTGCCCTCCTCAGTCAACTTCACAGCTGAGTCCCGGTCAACAGCTCTTGATATTTGAAGGACTCGGCCTTCGATTGTGTAGAGTCCATTAGAATCGGCAGTTTCGCTTTCAAGAACCGAGTGCTTGATTTTTGGCGCGACGGCGTCTCCTTTCTTGGTTGCGTTGGCACCACTTGGTTGGTATTTTGGTGCCCCACGGAAACATGCATCTGCATCCTCAACCTTGAAGAAGCATACGAATCCCGTGCCTCTAGGGCGGTCGGTAGCACGGTCCATCACAACCCTAGCATATCGTACAGGACCAAATTGATTGAAGTGCTCTTTCAGATCTGGATCCATTGTAGTAAAAGGCAGGTTGCGCACGAAAAGTGTAGAAGAATTATCTGTGATCATAACTTTTTCTGGTCTCTTTGGTGCTTCGTCCTCGGTCTCCAGTTCATCTGAATCATCGGTATCATCATCTTCACTGTCTTCTTCATCATCCTCGTCCTCCTCGTCGTAGTCCTCTTTGGGCTTATCGTCGTTCTCGTCCTCCGATTCGAGATTTTCTCCAAAATTCTTCAAGAAATTTGCCACGTCGTCTTCAACATTGGTGGTTTTATCCTTTTCAACCTTCGCTCCTCCATCATTATCTTCATCATCGCTAGCCTCTTCGTTGTCGTCTTCATCCTCAGAATCAGCTGCCTTTTGTTTTTCCCACTGTTCCTTCTCCACAGCCCAATCCACAGCTAGCTTTCTTCCATCGACAGTTATACCATTGATTGCCTGAAGTGCCTTTTCAGCATTTTTCTTGCCCCGCATAACAACGAACCCAAAGCCTGCCTGCGTATCCTTGACTTTTGGAAGTGTTGATATCTTGACTTTGCCAAACTTTCGAAAGAGCTCTGCCAATTGTTCTGTAGTTTTGATACTCCAAGGGAGATTCCGAATAATCAGCTTAGGAGACTTGCGAACTTCTGCCATCTTCTCCTCGCGAGCTTTCTTGAACGCAGCTGCGTCTGCAGCAATGACACTCTTTGGCTTTGCATCCGTTCCCTTAGATGCGACGTCTCGGGATCTGGGTTGGGCAACTTCAATTCGCATTTTTCGGCCCATAAAAGACTGCCCATTGAACTCTTCCACCGCCCGTTGTGCGTCCTCCGCATCTGCAAAAGTGACAAATCCGTATCCTTTAGATTGCTTTGTCTCCGTATCCATTACCACAGTGGCGTGTTTGAGAGGGTAGTTCTGTGAGAATAATTCGGTCAAGGCATCGCTGGTAGCTACGGCGGGGAGTGATCGCACGAAAAGCGTGCGACGGGCAGAGGCATTGGTCTCGTTCTTTGCCTTCTTTGGAGGAGGCTGCTCATCGTACTCGGATATGGGCGCAACTGCGGCCTCCTCATCTCCTATAGCACGGGGTCGTTTTGTGGGCGTCATATTGAAATGGATGTTGTCGTTGGAGTTTCTATGCGAAACCCATTCACATAGAAAAAGATTTCTGCCATCGACTGAGCTTTCCCCCGGACTGGAGCCGACTTGGGAGACCCCTGGCAGAGCACGTGATACGGATCCCGGCTAATCCTGTCGCCTGCCTGATGGAACCTGAAAGGTTCTAATCGAGCCCGCCCCATCAAAGAACATCTCCGATCCTTTGCCCTGGCGCACCCACCTTCATCCACCTTCAGCCTCCAGCTCACGACGACAACACATCGATACCCTCGGCCCACCGACGACTCACGACACGATACGACCACCGTCTGAATACTTGTACATTATATGGGATAGGAGCGACCATCTTCTCAGCGCCGCCGTGTGTGCGCTCGTGGGCGAATTGCGACCGTCTCACTTTCGACCCACCCAGCCCTTCGCTCATCTCTCGCCGACGACGGACCCTCGAGCGATTTTACGACTAGAAAACTTCAGCACATCCTGAGCAGAGGAAGGACGCATCTGGATATCTAGGAAATCGGGGTCCCTCGCTGCGGGACGGGTTGCGGTGCAATCGACTAGACCTTCGCTGCGTCTCGGACTGACCTTTGCCTTCGGTCCCACGACTGCATCAACTTCACCCACGAAACGAACCATCTCGGACTCTCTTTGATACCACACTCTCCGCAGACATTCCTAATTCCGAACAATTAGATACCCTCGATATGCCTTCTGATCATCCACACACACCTGAAAGCCCTTCTCAACTCAATTCTGGCGCTGGCGACCGTCAGACAAAAACTTCTACTTCTCCGCATTTCACGAATTCTCTTCCAACACCCGCACACAGCATCATAGGTGCAGATATGATGGCGGAGGGATTTGCGCAGGATGATTCTTCGAACAAGCGCAAGCGTGCTGCCGAGGACAATGGTGATCGAGGTCAGAAGAAGGTTCATATTGAAGACACAAGCAAGCTTCGTATAGAAGACCTGCATTTGGATGTTGGTGAAAAGTATCTCCTCTGCAGAACTCGTAAGGCTCCCTTTCCTCTACGAGATCTGCTCTCGGTTTGGCCCATACAACCATGTGAAGTACTTGGTTAACATGGACTTTAATTTGTAGCACACCCTAGACAGAAGCCGCAACTTACTCAAGATCTATTTACACTTTACTCGTTGAATGATGTTGCAAAGGAAGTTGCACGCACGAAACCCGATGGTACCAAAAACGGTCTACGAAAGTCTTACAAAAATCATTTGAAGGCAATTAGTGGTGCATTCGATGCGGTCAAGAAGGAGGAAGACGCTCCAGACACACTTTTTGCATTGTTGACACAACCAGATGATGTGTGGGAGGCAAACAATGTTTTCGGACAAGAAATTGGCAAGGGCTTGGGGGAGACTGTATTGGCTGGCATGGGACAGGCTTTGAAGATGGCAAAGGGCAAGATACCGAAGCGAGATTGGAATGAAGCAGTACTAGGGCCGCTACCTTTGCAGACTGCAGAGGCAGCGAACACCATGCAGAACGGATCAAGAACACCGGTCCCACAGAATGCGGTAACCGCCCGTCCTGGGATGAAGGGTGAGATACCTCGTCCGAAACGTAACATAAAAAAGCGATCTTACGGGGACTCGAGTTTTGAAGGATACGGCGAGGGATTTGTAGATGATGATGCTCAAGAGACGGGATATTCGACGGGCGAGGGAGATGATCGGGGGAACCGAAAGCGACCAAAGAAGGTTGGTTATTTGATGCTTGATATGTGGACACGGCTAATCACAGTAAAAGACTGCTCCCAGCCACGGTTACCAAAGTTCTATGCGACAAACCAGTTATGACCCAAGAATGGTAGGAGTATGAAATGCATGATTGGTTTGGGTTTTTCAATAATACTAAGGGGGTCGCGGGTTAAGGGGTACTGGCCGTGTAATAAAAAAAGCGCATGAATGGCCTTGTGAGTGCAAAATGGCAAGCTCGTTTGCAGGGATATGACGTGTATCGGTGGCATGCCGTCTGTTGCAGAGCGTATTCAAGTCCAGGGCGAGGACCACGAGTCTACTCCTAATGGATGTACGAAGGCATGCCAAAATTTCGGTGGCCTCTGGCCTCTGGCGTTGCGACTTCAATTTTAGCGGGATATGGCGTTATATAAAGGATAGGGGGTTGACTGTATTTACCTAGGTAATTGACGGCCCCCGAAGAGAAAGAGAAATGAAAAAAGATGACCCTTTTGAACCATTTGAGTAGGCTGTTGTCTGTATTCATTCATGCTTGCTTGCTGGTTGTAGAAACTTTTGTCAGTTTTTCATCGTACCTGCCATTTCCTCCGTTGTTCCTTCCCATATTAAGGCCAATGTTTACATACTCCTTCTACATGCTCTTTTCCTCACCAACACTACTCAACACATTCGTATCATCTTCTTCCAAAAATCCCTTTTCAATATCCAGATATCCATTCGTTGATCTTATTTTTTGCTTCAACCAGCGCTATATCATCATCATGCATCCTCTAATTCCATCTCTCCTAAACCACATCTCCACTTTCAACCACTCATATGACTACCCTCAACGACCAAGCACCCCAAACTCACATCCTTTGCTTCCAATCTTCGGCTGCGTAATGAGTCCCACGACAGTATGTCTGAACCAACTCGTAGCCAAGCGTTACGCTCGCTGGTCTGAGAGTCCCCAGTTCGAGGTGTTGAGGTATCTGTATACGAAACTTGGGCTACGAGAAACGTACTCTTTGGACTTGGAAGGAAACAGGGTGTTTGTAGAGAGATATAAACCAGCTTTGGGGGCCATGAGGGAAAGATTTGGTTTTCTTGGAAATGTCGATTACTTTGCCAGAGTGCAGGTTGGCTACGGAGCAAACGAAGGATTTGTACCGCCTACACCTCCTACATTCTCAAAACTTCTCAAAGATCACGGTCCCGCTATCCTCGAACAATACGCTAGATCTAGGACTTTCAATCCTTTCCTCTTTGGCATTCTTGATAAAAATAGTGCCGCCGCCATTCGTCCTGGCAGAAGTCTCCTGAAGGATATTTGGACAAGCACCTCTTCCGCTCGAAGTCCACTGGGTATTCATGGGAAAGAATTAGGCAATATGATGCATGGATATGACGAGGTCCCTGTCGAGCTCTTTGAGGAAAATGATACGGGGGCTGTCTCTATGGATGATGGGAAGACGAAAGCAGGGGATGTAATGAGGTTAGCGAGACGGCTGGCTGCTTATTTGGCGGCTTGGACGTGGGACTTTGCGCTGCCTGGGGGGTATTATTATCCTAGTGACTTGAGGTAGGGAATTCTTGTGCCTTTGGGAGGGTAGGGGGGGTTGGATTGTTGGTGTTGTGCTTGTGTTGTTTTGGATTCGTCTTACGTCGCTTAGATTATGTGGCGATTGGGTAGCGATTGAGTAGCATTTTAGGAAGAAATCCAAGCGTTTTGCCTGTCTGCGGCTCTGCGTTTGATCTGTGTCAACATTTGAAGTTCTAGAAGTGTTAATAATATATTTTGAGCCATGATTTAAGCAGTTGTAGCTTGGGAATAGATGCAATCGGCATTGAGTACTTGCTAGCGAGATGCCTCCTAGTATTCCAATCCAAATTATGTAGACCTGATGCACTCATGTTAGCGCGAGCTCTCATCAAAATGTATGGACCGTGTCAGAAATTGGAGAGAAGTGGAGAGTAAGCGGAAGCTAGCAAAGGAAGTGAGTGAATGCTTGATATGTCCTGATCATTTACCCCCCTTCGCGTACCTACGTAGTAGACATATGATGCTTTGACCACTCCATCGATGTAACTGGTAAGCCAAGACAACTCTAATATGTTGAATTGGTAACAGGAAATGTGGTATTCAGATCTATATACAAATGTGGTAGAAACAGAGGGCTCTGATTGGTTGACAATAGCCCCGAGGTTTTGGCGGGTATCATTATCGCACCTATTATCCCTGCAGAAAGTTATGAGCTGAACGCGACTTGAACTTTCAATGACCAACTTTCACTTCCCATCATGATCACAACGTTGGATAGTTGGACCGTTGCGTGTCTTGTTGTTGGTACCGCTGTACTCACACCATTCATCATGGGGTTATTCGGTGGAAACCAATTCAATGTCAAGGGCAGGGTACGTTCTGCGCCAAAACACACCTGCTGCCTAGGAATATCTAAGGCTGACGATGCATTCAGACAATTCTGCTCACCGGCGCCTCGGAAGGCATGGGAAAAGCTGTTGCAAAGCACTTGTCAGCCAAAGGAGCAAATATCATAATTATTGCACGCAATCTAGAACGTTTGGAAACGGCCATTGCAGAAACCAAGGAAAGTCCCCTCCTTCAAATCCCCCACAGATGCTGTACTAACTGGCCTTCCTTTCCAGGCATCTGCTGCATCGCCCTCCACCCAACGCTTCCATACTATCTCTGCCGATCTTGCCGTTCCAAATGGTGCCCTCAATGCCCTCACCGAAGCAATAGCCTGGAATGGAGGAAACAGTCCTGATGTCGTTTGGTGTATTGCTGGTTCGTCATACCCGGACTTTTTCATTGATACACCCATCACAAGGCTGCGCCAGCAAATGGATGTCAACTTCTGGGCGGCGACGGAGATGGCACATGGAATCCTGAATGAATGGCTCAGCCCCGCCGGACTCGAGAAATCACAGGGACAAAAGGAGCCCAAACATCTGATATTTACAAGTTCTGTGGTGGCCTTCTACCCAATTATTGGGTATGGTCCTTACTCCCCTGCCAAAGCAGCTATGCGAAATTTGAGCGATGTTTTGTCGCAGGAAGTGCAATTGTATGGAGGGGGTGACAGAGTTAAGATCCATACTGTTTTCCCGGGAGGGATTTCGAGTCCAGGTTTCATCAATGAGAACCTTACCAAACCTCAAGTCACCAAGGTTCTGGAAGAAACTGATCCGGTGCAAACACCGGAAGTGGTGGCTGCTAAAGCCATCAAAGGCCTGGAAAACGGCGAGTTCATGATTGTGGTTAGTTGGGTTGGAATTTTGATGAGAGCATGTTGTTGGGGGTGGATGCCGAAAAACAATATGCTGCTTGATACTATCGTTAGTTGGGTATCTGGAATCATCGGAATCTTCGTCGGGATGGATCTAGATGGAAAAGTTCGGAAGTATGGAAAGGATCACGGCCATCCTAGTACGTACCCGCCAAAAGAGATGCCTTAGTTTGAGCTAAAATCCGATACCCCATACCCCTATTATAGGCGAGTTGCCAGCCATCGAAAATAATGTACTTATTTACCCGCCGAGATTGGTCACATGTTCATCACGCTGCAGACCCAACAAGCTGGAACAAACTGGATTAGCGTAAAGTTTCAGCCCTACAGAGAGACGTCTGTCGATCGACCTCATCTTTACGTTCAAGTGAACAAATGAACACGGTTCAAGGTCTTTCTTCGTCCTTTGAAACGCTCGAACCTGGTGTGGTAGCACTCCCTTCTTGTCAGTGGCTATCGTTACGAGAGTACTCGGTGGCGTTTCGGGGGTGGTTGACAGTGGCTTACCTCGCCACTTTACAACGGCGTGCGAATCACTTCACTTTCCACCTCTGTTGGAATTGCAATTGATAAGGCTGATGTTTATATTTGGCCTCAGTCCATCTGAATTTTCCAGAAGCGTTTTGTGATAGCAAATGGTTGATCTGCCTTTGCACCACCAACATCATTCGCGTCTCATGGGTGCAAGTGGACCTCCGATCGACGCAGCACACATGATGGCATTTGGGATTTTGGTCGACGATCAGAAGAGGCACCGCCTCGAGATCTTTGGCCAATCTGCCATGCCATGATGATCCGAACAATTGATACGGGGCGGATTTCCTGCAGCCTCCATCACCCCAAGCATTCGGTGCACCCGCTGATGAGCATCTGCACAGATAGGAGGTACGATAGCAACACGATGATGTACCGCTGACCTGTGCCCGGGACGTGCACGTTTATTTATATTGAAATTCAACCAGAATGTCTACATTTGGCTTAGCTACGGTCATTTCAACTTCTCGTTGCATATACAGGGAAGAACCAATGGGGTTTCAACTTTTCGGCTCCTTTTCCGAAAATTGTACATCGTATATTGAACAAATATGTTGAAGATTGTAACCGCTGGCCCCCATTTCAACCCCCCCGACTATCACTCCTCTATCAACTTATCCGGAACGTTTTGAAAATGGGAATCCTAGCTTGGATTAACGCCTGGCAAAGCCTCAATCTGCAAGTGCCGGTGCGAGTTCTGGGGCCGAAGGATTCAGAATTACACTCCGGTAAGAAAGTTACATGAGATTCCTTTTTCTTCTTTTTTCCCGTCCAATTGTCCTTCCCGGATGGTAGCGGAATGGCGTCCATTTCTTGTGCTGACCAGCGCGGCTGAGGAACCATCAGGGATGTGACGGACTGATTTGGCAGCCGCCAATAATATTTGAGCCACTCACTTCTCTTTCTGCACCACCGCTTGGCCCTCCCTTTCCTCGGCACCCTTCCTGGGATAGAAACTCAAGATGTCAGTTGAGGCACAGCACTTCTCAATTGGCCAATTCGCGAGCTTCCGCGGTGGCAGCCTACCACGAGCCTCCACCGTCTCTATTTTGAGGGGAAATGACCAGGGTGTTCTCCCCAATCTTTCTCTTGTACTGGGGGTATGTACGTGCTTCAGCTCAACGTCAATCAGCCCTAAATATTTCTTACTTGATGTTCATAATGATGGCCTCATCCCGCCGGCCACAATATCAACCTTCTTGGTACACTCTTTGATACACAAGCATTATAGATTCGAATTGTATTATATTACTGTGCCTCAAAGTTGATCAGCCAATTCTTGCGTAGCATCTTCCTACGCGCTCATCGCTTCTCGTTTCTCATTCGTCAAAAACACAATCTTTTTAGGACACCCCCCAAATCCCGCAGTGACGGGCGAATTTGCAACCTCGCTTGAACGCCCGTATTGAGATAAAACTCCTAGGTTGACACCTGTTGAGACGAACGCACAATAATCACTCTGGCGTGGCGTGGTTCTTAGTAGGGCGGGCAATTGCTTGCGTCAAGCTACTGGGTCTTCTTAAATACCCGTATGAAAGCCCTTTCTCATCTTTGTCTCATTTCGCTAATACATCCTTTCAGTATAACTTTTTGATACTTGTCCATAGACTTTGTCTATCACGTGTCAAGATGGATACTGCTCAAGAAACAACGAGGGTCGAGTTACCGAATGGAATCAAACAGTCCAAATTAGCATCAAGGGCTCCCACTCCACTGGATCTCGACGATGCCATTAGATGGCAAGCCAAAATGGGGCTGAAGACATTCGGACAGAGTCTTCACGCCGCTGCACAAGCTCTATTTCCAAACGAAAATCGATCACGGTACTCTAAGGTGTTCGTCTTGATAGTAGGCTGGGAAACCGAGCCTGCTCTTCCTATTTCCGGAGATTTGTCAAGACTGTTTGGTGTTTTTCGAGATGTCTATCACTTTGAAACCGAGCTTTGGAAAATTCCCGACTCTAGCTCTCAACATGAAGCAAACCAGAAGATCTCAGAATTTGTTGGTCTAGGGGGTAATAGCGAAGACCATCTGAAGATTCTTTATTATGCTGGTAATACACTCAAAACGAATAGTCATGGGTTAGCTTGGACAAGGTATGTTGACCATTGTTTGCCTGCCCCTCGCTGCCCTTTTTCTCCTCATACAGATGCTAACTTGCTGCTAGTGGTTACAAAAACTCCAGACATCGCTTCCCCACGGTTCAGTGGACTGGGCTACAGAACACTCTAGAGGAAGCACAAAGCGATGTGCTTTGCCTTCTTGACTGCCCTCACACAGGGTCCTCGGAGAGTCACGAAAGAAAAGGAGTTACCGAAATTATCTCGGCGTGTTCTTACACAGATGAAAACAACGGTATTCGATCGGGTTGCTTTACGAAGGAGCTTGAAGCCGAGCTTCGAGAATTGAGCAATTTGCCATCTTTCTCGGTTGGGAATCTCTACCATAATATCTTCTGTCGGACACAAAGCGACGACTCAGAAGAAGGTCGAGAGAATATTGCTCCAGTATATTTTCCTCTTTCTCAACCAAACCAAGACGCCCCGCGAAGTCTACGTTTGTCAGTTCGCGAAACCCATACACCTCGCCCGGCTTCGCCTGGAAGCATCCATTCCACTATCGAAAGCGTTCCTTCTTTTCAGATATCTTCTGTAATGGGACATGGACAAGCACCTCGAATCGCATTTGCTATTCGTTTAAGGGATCAATTCAGAATTGAAGATTTGTCGTCTAATCTTTTCTTAAACTGGCTCGAAAATGTCCCAGCAGCTATCGACGGTGTAAAGGTCGAAGCAGCGTTCCACAGCTCTTCATCACTGCTCATCGTGTCAGTTCCAATATGCATGTCTATCTACGTTCTCAGAGACAAGGCAATGACCAATCTTGGCCCAATAACGTCGTTTAATCAAGCCATCAATAGATATCAGCTTCCACCTACACCAAACCCGGACAATTGGATTTGGGATCGTCTTCCTACCCCAACCAAAGATATGCACGGTGAGCCAAGAGTCAATGGAAATAAGAATAGTATCAACGGTACGAGTGGCGTTCGTTTCAGAAAGCAGTGTAACGGCATACCGGATGCAGGATCAGATCTCCGACCAAATTACAACAGAGGATATTCTTCCCAACTTAGTGTCGCAAGCAGCATTACAGAGGAGCCCAACTCTCTTAATGGGTTTGATGGAAACTACGAATCTGATGAACCACAAGTAGCGTCCCCTCAGATGCAATCAGATGGACAATTTAACGGGACCAAATCGTATCCAAAAATCGGGTCATATAGCGACGATCCGCACAACAAGACTTTCCCAAGGCTGTCAAAACCAGTTGAGCTCATGCGTAACTCTTATGAGTGCGTTGTTATTGGATCCGGCTATGGTGGAGGAGTTGCAGCCAGCCGCATGGCAAGAGCAGGTCAGAGAGTTTGCCTTCTCGAAAGAGGTCAAGAAAAATGGCCTGGCGAATATCCTAGTGGCTTTTTGGATGCCGCGAAAGAATTGCATGTTTCAGGAAACTTTGCTCCTGGTGCTTTGAAAAGCTCAAATGTCGAAGGTGGTGATCCCACAGGCCTGTATCACCTCATTGTGGGTAAAGGTCAGAATGCCTTTGTCGGAAACGGACTCGGTGGGACAAGTTTGCTGAATGCCAATGTCTTCCTTGAAGCTGATAACGGCACCATGAATATGGACGTATGGCCAGAAGAGCTTCGGGGAGACGACAAACTCAAGAAATACTACAAACGAGCGGCCGATGTCCTTCAGCCTACCGAATACCCGCATGATTGGCCGGAACTCCCAAAGTTGTCAATGCTTGAAAAGCAAGCAGAGTACCTTGGGATGAAGGAAAAGTTCAGGCGTGTCCCCCAAACAACTCGCTTCGTGGGCGGACCAAATAGCACTGGGGTTGAGATGTACCCTTCAGCCCTCACCGGTATGGATACCACTGGTGTAAATGATGGCAGCAAATCCAGTACGCTCGTCAATTATCTCTCTGATGCCTGGAACTGGGGTGCGGAGATGTTTTGCGAATGCGAAGTCAGATATGTTAGGAAACATCCTGATCCCGATCGAGGCTATCTTGTATTCTTCGCTTGGCACGGCAGCAAAAGAGGCGTATTCAAAAAGCATCTCTATGAGGATCTCATGTGGGTACATGCAGAGAAATGTGTATTCCTTGGAGCTGGTTCTATTGGAACGACCGAAATCCTTCTCCGAAGCAAGAAACTTGGTTTGTCTATGAGCGACAAGGTCGGCACGAACATGAGTGGTAATGGCGATCTTCTCGCCTTCGGTTACAACACCGATAAAGAAGTCAATGCCATCGGTCGACAATACCCGTCCCCCTACCATCCTGTTGGGCCTACAATAACCGGCGTCATAGACGATCGCGAGGGTCATGAAAACCCACTTGATGGATATGTCATACAAGAGGGGGCAGTTCCAAAGGCACTTTCTCTTCTGTTTCAGACCATGCTTGAACTGACGCCAGGCACTCAACATCCCAAAGGGGATGGATTACTCGAAAAGGTGCAGGATGTCATGGCTCGGGCAGGAAGTCGCTTCCTAGGCCCATATTTCAGAAAGGGAAGCATTGAGAGAACCCAGGTTTACTTAGTCATGAGTCATGATTCTAACCAAGCTATCTTGACCTTGGAAAATGATCAGCCTGTTTTGGAGTTTATGGGTGTTGCTAGCAGTGGCCACGTCAAGAAGCTGATGGAAACCTTAGCGAAAGCTACACAAGCAGTCGGAGGTACATTCGTCAAGAACCCATTTGATGGCTATTTCAAACAGGAAATCACCGTTCATCCAATTGGAGGAGCCTGCATGAGTAAGGATGGTACTGCCGCTCATGGTGTGACGAATCATTTTGGAGAAGTCTTAACTGGCCATGGCAGCGAGGCACATAGAGGTCTCGTTGTAACTGATGGAGCAATTATCCCCGCTGCTCTCGGATGCAACCCCTTCGCTACAATCACAGCTCTTGCTGAACGATCCGTCGAACATGCCGCCCACGATATTGGTGCAAAGATTGACTACACGACCAAGAACTATCATCTTGATTTGTTTGGTGCTCCAGGTCAATACAAAAAACCGAATGGCTACAGTCCCCGCCATGACACTTTCCAAATTGCTCAAGCCAAGAAGCTTGTTGAAGATACAAACGAAAGAAAAGCAAATGGCTTTGGGTTTACTGAGGTCATGTCTGGTTACATTCACATTGGTGATGGAGTTGAGGGCGACAAGCCAGAAGATTTCGAGACTGCTGCTCGAACGGCACGAGGGCTATGTGAGGAAGCCAGGTTCATGTTGAGTGTTCAGGCTTTCGATACAAACACGAGTAAGTCTGCCCCATCTTTGCTAATGACTCCTACTAATTTCAACAGCTGTAAGAAGATCCGACCATAGGGCCATGCTAACTGGCACTTTCACTTGCGCTGGTTTAAGAGGTAGCCCTTTCTTGGTTCAAAGAGGTGATTTTCACCTTTTTGAGATGAGCCAACAGGCACCTGGCACCAAGAATCTGGTGTACAAGTTTGATATGTGGTCCACCTTTGGCGAAAAGTATCATTTCCACGGGTTTAAGGTTGTGGACTCTTCTGTTGCACTTGGGCCTTTCCGCTTCTGGGAAGCCACTTCAACATTATATGTCACAATCTCACATGCTGGCGAACAAGGCTGTATACTTGGTCGAGGTATGATGCACATCAAAGCATCGGATTTCTTCTCTGAGATCTTCACATTGAAGCCATCCGGAAGAAACATTCTTGCTAGATTGCACTCGACAGCCAGCTTCATGGGATACTTTGCCCGGCAATCTGCGAGTCTCTTCCTTGCTCCTTTGGTATATCAACAATACCCTACAGTCACGTATAAAGGTTACATCAATAACACCTCGCCTGATCGCACCATTAAGATTACAGCATCCGACGGAGTCGAGACTAAACTACAAGTTTGGGAACCTAGAAACCCCAGAATCGAGACAAAGAACCTCTTCATGATTCCCGGAGCATCGGTCGATCATCAAATCTTCGCTCTTCCAACCATCGAAGTCAACGCAGTTAACTACTTCACTCAGGCCGGCTATAGAGTTTTCGTCACTGTGCATCGAATCTGCCAATTAAAAATCGCAGAAGACAAGTGGACAACCTTCGATTCACGCCTCGACATCAGAGCCTGTTATGAGAAAATCCGTGCCGAGTATGGAAAAGAGAAAATCTATACCATCGCCCACTGTATGGGCTCAGTCGCCTACGCCTGCGGCCTCCTCGACGGTACAATCCCCGCCGACTGGGTCTTGGGAATCTCCTGCTCGCAAGTATTCTTCAACCCCATCTGGTCTGCCCTGAACATGGCCAAGGTCCTCGTGGGTCCCATCCCCTTCGACAAGATCTACAAGATGTTCGGCGGGAACTGGTTCTCGTGTCAGAGCACCAAGGACGACTCCTACTTCCAGCAATTCATCAACCAAGTTCTGAGATTCTACCCGGATACGAGGAAGGAGATATGTAACAATGTGTCTTGTCACCGTTGTTCTCTTGTCTTTGGACGATTATGGAACCACAGGAATCTTAATGAGAGTACCCATCGACAAATCAACCGCTTCTTTGGAGGTGTGAACATGACACTCCTGAATACGCTGATGCAAATGGGTCGCCGTGGATTCGTTACGACCAACGCTCCACTCTTCGATAATCTTACCACGGACGAGAATCTGAAGCGGCTGAAGGGTATCCCCGTGATGTTGTTCTCCGGAAGTGACAATGCGGTCCTCACGCCTGAGTCGACGGAGAAAAGTTATGAGATACTTAGAGACACTTTTGGAGCGAAGAATTATGAGAGGCATGTTGTGCAGGGGTATGGACATCTGGATTGTTGGATGGGGAGGGAGGCTTACAAAGATGTTTATCCGATGGTGCGGGAGCAGGTTGATAAGATTTGTAGGGGGGAGGATTATAGGTATATCGAGTATGATTGGAAGAATGAGTGGAAGAATTGGGGGGATTTGCCGAAGAGTGGGTAGGCGTCGGTTTTTATTTTGGTGTTTTCTGTTCTTTTCCTTCTTTTCCGGGAGATTTTGGTAGATTTTGGTAGATTTGGCGTTTTCCTGTCCTTTGCTAAGGCGTTGGGATATATATACACAAGAAGATGTGTTGGGACCTGGTATTAGGCTTTGGTATATGGATCTTTCATTAGGATGTAACTTGTAACAATAGTGTTTTTTTTTGGAATATTTTGGCTATACAATACATGTTCTACAAATCAGTGTCCTCAGAATCGGTCCTTTAGTGCATATCAGACAGATTTTGAGTGGTGTATCATATGCATAAATATTCGTCCAGCAGCTGGCGAATGCCATCTTAGGCAATTACAGAACTGCCCTAAAATATTTAAAACTTTACATTGTCTCAATTCCGGTTGCGGCAATGAGCGCAGAAAGAATCTCTGTCTTTCTTGTTCACTGAGAGACTAAGTTAGGTTGGGAGTCCATGAAAAGATAAGCCAGCCACCAAGGAAAGGGGCTCGTCCGTTCACCTGGAAGAAGTTCTCGAGTTAACAATAACAAAGACAATGTCAAAATATTTGCGAAATCCTCTAAACAATTTCTGTCGTCTACCAGACCTCCCTTCTACCTTTTCTAACTCAAAACTTGATCTCGTATTGTTCTGGTCCTTAGTAACTTGCTAGTCCTCCCTTGAGCCGCTGCGGGGCCCCTCGAGAGAGACAGGATCTTGCATTTCCCCTGGCATATAATGTATTGGAGTCGGCGACACAAGGAGCATCTGCTGCGGAGCTAAGACTTACGTGCCAGTTCGCTCTTGATCTGTGTCGTGTATTCTCGTCGAGTAAAGGGGTGCTAGAACTTTAGTAGGTTAATTTTTGTTGCAGCAGGGGTGGTCAATCGCTAATCCAGTTCAGGAAAGAGTGGTGGTTAAAGTTGCCGGTGGTTCTTGACAAGGTAGAGGTCTATGATAGCTTCTTCAGAACAAGTCTTAACATAATATAAGGACTTGAGAATGAAACCCTTGTTATTCAGTTAAATCAAGACCGATATGCATAGAATAAGGGTCATGGTTATTCCATCGCTTAATTCTTTTCCCTTTCGCTACTTCATTCCCCATCTCTTCATCAATAAATGATGTACCCGTGTTGAAATCTAGTCTTCTTAACGACAGTATCCTGCGACCTTGATTTGAAATTGTGGAGAATGCAGTAAGAAACAGTTACAAGTTAAGAAAACTTGGCCTAACAGGAAAACTCGCTTATTTCAATCACTTCCACACCACAACTTTGAACCCACTACTATCGCGTAACCATCTTCCATCCTTCCATCCAGCGTGAGAACGAATTAATCACTTAATCCATTAGTAATCAACTAAATCATCATTAAATTGATTTGATTTAGATTAGCGACCTTAGGTGATTAGATAGACTAAGAAGCGTTTAGTTAATCTAATTAATTAGAATAATAGTATAGATTTTTTTTGTACTACTAATATACCTTTTAGAAGGCTAATAAAGAGAGAAAATAAGAGTAAAGATATAATAGATAATTCAATAACTAAGGATAAGGAACGTTCCTATAGACTAGATATTATAACAGGTACATAAGGGTCACGGTAGTTATATGACCTGTCTCAAATCCTACTTATATAGCGGTGTTTCTTTTCTAATTCTAGGCTCCTTAGAGCGTTCATGACCTACTTTGACTGTCTATTCTGTCCTTTACCGTATATAATACAGGGGCTCTCGCTTAGCTAGCACGTGGTCTGCCGAGCAACCTCCGAGTCCTCGGTCCGCCGGTCCGAGGCTTCGGCCCGTGTTAATCGATTTCATTAGATTGTATAATTAGTCAAGTGATTAATTATGATTAGGAGGTCCAGTTGATTAGAATAACTTAGATTAAGACCTCTTTAGTTAATTTATTCTAATCATTTCTTACGCTGCTTCCATCCAACAGCTTTCTACAACAAAATCCTCCCGACCTTTTTTCACAAAAAAAATCAGTGAAGAAAGAAACCCAAGAAGCGAAATCAAAAGTAACAGGGACTCAACCCGCCCAGCGCCGTGGGTGAGCTCACTTCCCAATGATGGACTTAAAGAAAGCACAAACCTACTCTGTGGCGGCGGGACTCATGGGTAGAACAAGCTTAGTAAAGCAGAGCTTGATTGAGTAGAGAGGTAGAATCAAGTGAGAGGTATCAAAGTCCCGTACCAGGGGAGAAGGGGGGAACAGGAGGTACCTGACTCGGGTTGAGCTAGAGAGATTTGATGAAGCGAGATATATCAAATTGTTGTGAATGAAGACGTGGTTTAGTGTGTTAGGAGAGGTTATGAGATTTGTCGAGTTTTTGGCGGTTTTGATTACTTGGCGAGTTAAGCGAGGATTAGAGAGGAGGTACCGTAGTGTTTTGAATGCCGTTGGATGTGGCTTGGTTTGAATCGCCAATTTGACGGCACATTTTACTGGAATCTGCAGACCCCTGCAAACTTAGCAAGCGAAAAGGTCTTCAAATCTCCATTCGTGTCATCCGATCAACATGACCTACAACCCCAATCTACCATCTCAACTCTCCACTTACCTTTCGCCCTCAAACTTTAATCCCTTCCACTCAATTCTCTGCTCAAAACTAGCCGCAACCTTCAAACACGTCAAATCCTCAAACTTCCTCCCCACAACCTGCAATCCCGTCGGCAACCACACACTCCCATCCTCCTTCGCGAGCACAAACCCAACCGGCAAACTCAGCGCCAGATGTCCACTCAAATTAAACGTAGCAGTATTAAACGTCGCACCAATAGTACGACTAAGCATCTTTAACGGCCCCAGCGTCCTGCCTCCTTCCTCGCAGATCTTCGTTGGCGGGAAGATGATGGTCGGTGTGACGAGGATATCCACGGCCCGGAATACGCGTTCGTATTCATCATTCAGTTTCCGGAGGAGGTTGGTGCAGCGTGCGTGGAGTGGTGAACCGAAGTTTTGTTTTAGGAAGAGGCCGCGGAGGTAGATGTTCTGGCCTCCTGGCCCGAGGGCATCGAAGGCTTCTTGTGTGAGTTGCGGTCCGACGCTTGTAGCTCGTTCCGGAAAGAGGAGTTGTTTTCTTCCCGAGGGGTTGGAGAGGAGGCCTTGTGTTGTGCCGGACATGGGGAGGGCTACCATCCAGATCATTCCCGAGTCTCGATGGAGGGGGATGCTGATTTCGGTTACTTGTGCTCCTAGTTCGGCGAGTTTTGCAATTGCGGAACGGGACGCGTTTGCGACGTTTGGGTCGGTCATTGGGTCTTCGAAGCCTTCTTTGAGGATCCCGATTTTGAGTCCTTGCAGTGGAGTGGGAGATGAAGAGGTTGAGGAAAGATGTTTGGCTATTTCCTGGCCGTATTTGATGTGTCCTTGTGGCCAGTTGTAGGGTTGTCGGTCATCTATGCCGTCACTTCCTGCAATCACTTCGAGGAGTGTTGCGCAGTCTTGTGTTGTTCTTGCCATTGGACCTGCATGGTCAATTGTTGCTTCTAGAGATATACAGCCGGTATATGGGACTAAACCCCATGTTGGCTTTAGTCCTACAACACCGCAGTTTGCTGATGGTAAACGGATACTTCCTCCTTGATCGGCACCAATTGCCATATCAACTTGACCAGAAGCTAGAAGTCGACCTGATCCAGAGGAGGAGCCTCCAGTGCTATAGCCATGAGCATATGGATTATGCACGGGACCCGTGACAGAAGTATCACTATCCATCAAATTAGCAACTTTCCAATCAAAAAATAAGAACAAAACTGTAGGCAAACTTTGACTAACCTAACAGCCCCAAAACAATTATTCTCACAAGCCGCCTTTCCCTTAATCACACCCCCCGCATCCAAAATCCTCGTTACAAGCGTAGCATCCACCTCAGGAATCCAATCCACAGCCGCCGTCCCATTCGTACACCTCACACCAGCCACCGCAACATTATCCTTAACCGCCAACGTCTTGCCCTCCAACTCAAAACTCTTCGGCTTCGTATACCTCACCGTAGCCTTCCACGCCCAACCCCCATGGTCCGTTTCTTCTGCTCCCGACGGGCGATGAATATCGCTTCGTGGATAGAGTTCAGTGTCGACTTCTGGGTAGTAATCTGGGAGGGTTAAGATTTCCTTTGCGCAGTGGTTTAGACCGGAAAGGAGGACGACCCAGTCGGAGACTTCGGATGCAGGGATTGAGAGATTGTGGGAGTGGGCGAGGGTGTAGATTTCTGAGGGGTTAATGAGGGAGTCTTTTCTGAGAGGGGGGTCTTGTTAGGGAGAGGGGTTGATGGATGTTGGTAACGTACTGAGCTTCGCCGAGGACGCTGACGGACATTTTGAGATCTAGTGATATGCAGTCTTATATAAGGTTGGAGAGAATATGAGAAAGCTCTATGTACTACATTATACAGCTCAAAGAAAAGAGTGAGTTGATTCTTATATATTTCTCTTATCCAGAGGAGTGGGATAGACCCCCAACATTCTCAAGCACTAACTTGTTTGCGACGCACAAGTCTTCATTTCAATCAGACAATTAAACAAATCCCCATCTCCAATTCCCCAAACCCATCATGATCAATAACCAAGCTAGAAGAAAAAGATCCAATTCTCAGATATTTATTTCCTCTTATCCAGAGGAGTGGCATAAGACCTCTCCCCTCAAACACCCACACTCACACCTTCCTATAAACACACAACAACTCATCTCAATCAAACAATCTCCCCCATCCCATTCTCTCAATCCGCAAACCCATCCTCACCAAGAAACCCAACGCGCTAAAAAATAAAAACCCTATCAAAACACGCATATCTCCGAACACAATCAAGGTCATCTCTTTATCTTCGCAGCTCCGAAAAAAACAAGGTCCCGTGATCCCGTCCGTTGGCAGCCTGCGGGGTTACGAAAAATAGAGTGATGTAAGAAGTACTCAACATCTCGAGTACTACTTAGTAACTCTGTGTTGAATTGAGTTGAGTGGAGTATGAGTATGATTAGGTGCTACTCCTCAACTCAACTCAACTCATCTCATTTCCAACGCCAGAAAAACAAAAGGCATGATACAATCCTACAAATTTCATCTCGTTCCCGAGAACCGAGTGGCGACACAAACTTCGACGACAGATGAAAGGATGGCAGGAAGTTGATAAGAGAAAATGAAGTACATCTCCTCACCTATTCCCACGCATCAATATACACGAGAACTCTACTCACACGCCAAGACAAAGCTACCCAGCGGAAGCTTAACTTCAATATATGAAAGAGAGTACGACGAAGTCTAAGAGGGCATGAAGAAAATACGAGGTACGAGCTGTGTCGCTTTTATGATTTGTGGAAGTTGTTTGGTATGGGTGGATTATTCAGTCAATGGTTCGTTCGTCTTAGCTCATCTTCAAGGTCGAGGATGTAAGTTACAGTACAATATAGTACATACATCCTTACTTCTTCCCTTCTCATTCTCATCTGACCTCCCCCTCTTCCCACCTCCACCCGTCTCCTCCCCCCCTTCCCCCCCGCGGCCCCCAAATTAAAAATAAAACCCCTATTATACAAACCCCCTTCCCTCATTAGCTATCAAAAACACCTAAGGAGCATCAGTAGGATCCCAATCCGTAACCAACCCCTCATCCAACCCATCCACGACCCGCATATCCGCTTCGTGAATAGTAAACCCATCAACCTCCTTATTCATTACGATCCTCTCTTGCTTGACGCTTTTAGGCAGGGTCACGTAACCGTGTTGGAGGGACCATTTGATCATCAGTTGGGCCCACTATCATATGTAGGTTAGATTTGTTGTGGACTTCGGATTATGAGGGTAAGGAAGGGGAAAGAGGAGAGTGTAAGGACGTAAGAGGAAGACAGGTGAAAGAAAGGAGACATACGGTGCAATTATATTTCTTCGCCAGCTCAAGAATTCTAGGGTGTCTAGCTCTCATAGCTCTCGCTAAAGGGGCATACGCCTCAACGACAATCCCATTTTCCTTGCAAAAAGATGTGATTTCGGGCTGGGTATTGAAGGGGTGGACTTCGATTTGGTTGATCGCGGGTTTGGTTTTGATTTCGTCGTCTTCTAATAATTCTTTCAACTAGCTTAGCCATCAGTACCTTTCAACTTCTATCCAAAGCGAAACCTCAAGAAATAAGGTCCGTGTAAGAGCGAGAAATGGGAATAAATGTGAGGGTACAGACGTGGAGGAAGCGATGTGGCCCGTGCCCTTGGAACTGTAAATAGCCTCAGATCTTACGATCACTTCCACTCTTTGTAGACAATTTAGTTCTTACGCATACAGTTGACCTTGTCGCTATTGCACTCTTACATATTGTCTACAAAGAGTGGAAGTGATCGTAAGATCTGAGGCTATTTACAGTTCCAAGGGCACGGGCCACATCGCTTCCTCCACGTCTGTACCCTCACAATAAAGGGGGGAGATTACATGCTTCACCCCAAAATTAGACACACCACCAACCTTCACACTCCCCCTTTCAATCGCTTTTTCTACCGCCTTCGAACAGTTCTTCCTCGTCTCCTTCAGATCCTTCTCACCATAAGCATAAGGACTATGCAGCAAATACAGATCAATATATCCCAATCCACACTCTTTAACACTCTCCTCAATTTTCTTCTTCGTTTCGTCTTCCGACTTATTTTCCTTGAGTTTGGTAGTGAACCAGACATCCTCCCTCTTGACCCTTTCCTCACCCTTCCTTTGATTCTCAGGCGAATTTAGAAAAGCCAAGATCGCAGAGCCAACCGCCTTCTCATTCCCATACCATTCCGCAGAGTCAAAAGCCCGGTATCCTGCGTTTAGGGCGTGAGTTAAGGCTGTAGAGCAGGTGCGCCCTGATGTCATGTAGACGCCCAAGTGGATGCAGGGGATTTCCTTAGCATTCTTTGCATTGGGTAGACACAGCGTACTCCTCAGCGCCGTGGTGGAGTTGCTGGTCATTCTCCGGATTGAAGATTTTGAGACGGTGTGCTGGATTTTTGATAGTGAGGCGAATTTTTGCATGGATGTCGTTATACTTTCGATGTCGTGGTTCCTTTGTCGCTAGGCGACTGAGGGGTGAGGTCGGTGAATGTACTGTAGGTAGGTACTGGTATGGATTCAATGGGGACCTGGTGGGGTGATGACGTTGAGGCGAACAGGGCTGTCGGGAGAGCTTCGGTTGATAGTGGAAATGCCCCTCACCCCCCTTGCAGAATCTTGAAATCTGGGGAAAGTTAATAAAAAGTTGGTCGGTTCCTGGGTTGCTGGGAAAGTGATAGCCTCATTTTTTCTATGGTTGGGAATTGATCGTGTGCGTAGTATACCTTGTGATTTGTAAGGGTGGCGGCTTTGGTTAGTCTTCGTTTAGTCGTGGTGTTGAAAAAAGGAAAATGGGGTTTTTGACCAGGAATTGAATTTCGGGTATTTCGCAACTTTTCGAATCAAAGGAATTTACCTGCTGTGTATTCAAAATTGTTCCCGTTTAAGATGGGTTGTGCCCAACTTGGATTGAATTTGAGGCTCCAACCTTTGAAGTTTGGAAATCACGGTAAACAGAGCACGAACCCGGCTAAGCGAGAGAAAAATAAGCTTTTGGGGAGCTAGGCCTCACCGATTATTTGTATACCAGGAGTATGAAGCAGGTTTTTCCCAAATCGGGGGTCTCTCAAGCAAATACTTTTCGCAAATGCGTTTCAGTTTTCGATTTTCCATTAACCTTCTGGAAGCGATAGGCTAGAAAAATAGATTTCGAGAAATATTTAGTGGGTTGGGAGAGTGGATGTGATTGGTTACGCCAACGTCATTGTCGTATGTATAGATACTCGTAAAGAAATATTTTGGAGGTATCCAGAATCTGTTGCGGAAGACGAGCATGAGTATGATGGGAATAGCAACTGTTGTTTCTTGGTAAAAACTATCCATGGGTAGGTAGTTCATATTAATAATAATTTTTCGCATCACCTGGTCTCGTTGAAATACTCGCTTTCTCATTCATATCCAGACAAAGGCCAGATGTCAAACGAAATCATGAGGCCAACCAGAAGAGACTTCTGCCGATGCAGCGGTTTATTATCGTTTCAAGGCTTCGTCAGGTCAGTTACAGAGACTACCTAAAATCCAAACTTTATATAGGAAAGAAGAAAACCCCCGCCATGTATAGAAGGAAATTCTGGTAACACAAGCGAGTAGCATGGGAGGAAAAGTGAAAAATAAACATTTCTACACCGCCCGGACTTGGCGAAAAAATGTCGTACATTACGAGTGTGATTGGAGGGTGGTGGTGTGATATTGTCGATCCAAAGGAAGTCAGTCTCATACCCTCCCGATGCTTAGATGCTGGTTGAGGCACTGCCGTTGACCAATGTGATGTCCTCGTGGGCGGATTACAGCGGCATTACCTCCGATGGGAGCACCAGATGTCTGTGAGATGGTGAGTTTTGCCCGTGAGGATCCCAATGTTCTACATTTGGGGGCGTGCGGGTGGAATGACAGGGAGCGAAGTAGGCGCTTGCAGGACCCTGAATTCTTGATTGGAGGGGGTGCCCGTGGAAGGTATTTCGACAGGGATGTCATCTCAACCCCTTCACCTTGCGCCTGAGATGTATTTTCGGGTGTTCATTGTCACGAGAACAAACACCACAACACCGCGGGGAACATGGTGATGTTTACATTGGACGAGGAGCCGTTTTGTCGCAAATATGTGGTCAAGCTGGAATGTTTGAGAGGGGCGTGTTTCGGTGGTGGTCCTTTGCCGTGGTGTTGTATAGATTTCGTGATCGTGATCTGATGACCGGGTATTATTCAGACCTTGGTCGGTAGGTAGGAGAGTATTTGTATGGTCATGGTTTAGGAGATTATTTGTATGGTCATGGTAGTGGTGGTGGTGGTGGTGGTGGTTAGCCGAGGGGTTCAGATTTCACGTTGAAGGGTCTTTTGAGTGTCGCCCCGCGATGGAAGCGCCAAGGCTGTGCTATCTGATGACTTGGTGGGCAGGAGGCGGTTGCAGGCACTGGCTGGCAGCAGAGCAGCACGGGCGAGCGAGGAGTCGAGGACGGCTATGGCGGTTCGGAGGATCAGCGAGGAAGTTCTTCTTCTAAAGGTCGTTGGATTCTTTGAGTCCTCTCGGGCCATCAGTTGATGATGGGCTTTGTGATACTAGAACCCCATCGTTTTCTCCTCGTCGTTTGGTGTTTTTTTGGAGCTGTTCTTTGCGTCTCGATGGTATTCAGTGATTCACTGCAGTCTGCAGCCATTTCTCCAGGATCTGTTCCTTTGCAGCTACTTCTACTCGAGTAGCTACTGTAGTAGCTAGCTGCCTTTCGGACCTCATCGGATTCCCTGGCCGACCGCACAGACTGGCGCATCGAGACGCGGATCTAGCTCCTGGCCCGAAATTGCACAGTCAACGTCCCAGTCATCGTCAAGCCTCAGCCTCGAGTGCCTCTGGTCTGCCTCCTCTCAACCTCGAGTAGCGCAAACGCAGATATCAGATATCACCACCTCCTCCTCCGCTTCCCGTTCCCAAACTTTTGTCGCCCTTGCTCGCCGGTGCTCGCATTTCTTTCCATATTGGCTACACTCTGTATTCTTGCTCTGTTTTTCTCTCGCTACATGGTTCACCCATCGCATCCTTCCCCCTCTCCCAATACTGGTAGTCCTCGGTCTTATGCTGCCACCTCATTCCTCACCGTCCACCAAAAGTCTCCCGTATCAACCTTTTCCCTGCAGCCTCACATTCACATTCACATCTACGAGTACCATCTCGAACTGCCTGCAACTGCACACTGCACACTGCCCACTCGCACGCTCTGCCACTCCCACTCCCATCCACCCTTCCTGTGCCGACGTGAATCCTCTCCTCTCCCGGTCCAACTGCACTCGGCCAACCCTTTCGTGAGAACTTTGACCGCCCGGTCTTCACCCTTCGCATATCATCCAAGCCATCCCAGCAAGAGTGGGGATCCTTGCGTCTGTGTGCTGCAGCAAAAAAGTGGTTGACGAACGAGACGCCCGCTCCTCAATATCGTGCAGCTTGCCTGCATAAACACAAGACGCCAACCATTTCGCGATCCACTCATTGGCCCACTCAGCTGCCATCGCGACAAGCGGCAGAATTCTCTAGTCAAATCTCTCGTCGGCGTCTCTTAACTGCTTCATCCCTCCATCGATTTTTCTGGTGCGCCTGGAGGTCACGGTGCCGAGCACCACCATTACGACAACTGTGAACATTGTAAAGTTGGAGGAAGTCCGGTTACAGACGTAGTACCTGAGTACAGAAGGGCACGCACTGAGAAGGGTAGGTCCTGGCAATTTCTTCTCTCCCCTCTTCGCCGGTGTTTTCGATTTAGATCAGCGGATTTCGACGATATCAAACTGCATGCAACCGCAGCGGAGTATCCCAAACCTAACCTCGCCCCTCGATCAACCCCCTCTTCAAAACAACAACTCTTTGTTATTCTCAACAACACAGAACTTTTCAACACACGACCCGGACCACACTTCCTTCTTTCTCGCGGGCTCTGCAGCAGCAAAAACGCCATGCCGACAACCCCCCGTTAATATTATTTGATTAAATGGCAATCGCTTATCATGTTGTGTGACTTACAGACCGCTTCTCATACTGCACTTCGCTCGAGTTGTACGCCGCGAGGATCTTTACAGACATACAAGGCAACGTTCAGCCACTTGTAAAATTTTCACGATTCACGGACCGGTCCCCTACTCTACTCCAAAGACACAGCTGGGCCACATGTATCCTCAATGATGGACACTGAGGATGGGCAGTTCTTCACAAAGGTTAGTGAGAATGCTATTAGAGTGTTTGATACTCGTGTGAGACGGCAACTAACCATATCTTCCGCTAGAACCTCGCCCACTTTGTGCGAACCCACGAGAAGGCACTGGCAAATGCTCTTCAACTACGCCGTCAACAGGCACCAAAACATGGTTCAACTCCAAGTGTGGGATCAGTAGGAGGCTCGATTGTCCCATCGTCTCCTACTGTCACGCATTCTCCCTCATCCGCTACGTCCTCATCAACCTCGAACACACTGGCCGCGGCTCTCTCCCTACCATATTTAACATTCGCCTCGCACAACATAAAACCTGCAAAGCTTGCCTTGACGCCTCACCACCTCTTTTTCCTCCTTTCGCGATTCGAAGACCTTGGGATAACGGTTGGACCTATGAATGTGCGTTTAGAAAACCTGCACGCAGAATCAACATCGGCAAATTATGTCTCCTTTTTGGGACAATCACAACGGCCGAAGGGCCGTGGATCAGACAATGGATCGATACATTCCGTATCAAGTGTGAGAAGTGTAATGTCTGGCATGTCCAGTCTGTGGTCAAATTTTGGGCTTGGATCTGGAGGTGCAGCTGCACGGACTGAAAAACAAAAGGCAGCAATCGATGCGGACCTGAAATACCTATACTCGGCATTTACGAAGATCCCATGCTTACGGCTTGCGCCTGATCGACGAGCCCGTCTTATCGAAGGATTTGAGGAATTCCCATTTGACTCGGCTGTCCCACTACATGCTTTCAAAAATATCAGCGCTCTGGAAATCAGTGATATCGACTTTCGACAATTCTTTGGCTGGGATCGACTGGCGGAACAACTTAGGTCTTTGACAATCAAGCGTGCATCCATCGATGATGTGGAGGATCTGCTTGTCAATATTGTGCTTGATGATAAGGATAAACGACGACGAAGGTCCTCTAAACAACAAATGTCCCCGACCACTACATGGGCTGCATCTTCAAGTCCCAAGCGAAGTCCAACTATACCTCATGCCGAATTGGTAAAATCAAATTCCGCACCCGGGTCTCCCGACCAGCGAAGTCATATAGCAGATGACATGGACACCCGCAGTGCTCTACTTACCCGATCAGGGTCGGACGGGGCGAAATCTCCTGGAAAGGCGAGGCCAAGAAGCAACTCACCTGTCCGGCCGACTAGCTCAAGAACCGGTTCGGCACATGGTCATCTAAGAGGTTCACATAAAGTCAAAAGATCTGGGTCCGGTAGCTCTAACTCGAGCATGTCAGATAGCTGGCACAACCCTCGAGGTAGTTCCTCCAATCTGCTATCATCAATGGGAGTCCTTCCTTCCTCAAAATGGAGATTTTTGAAACATCTCAGTCTTGCTGATAATGGCCTTACTTCTATATCTGCATCAAGTTTGGCACCACTGGCCAACACTCTACACTCCCTCGATCTATCATCAAATCTGTTTGTCCAGATACCTGATTGCCTAGCCTCCTTGACGGCCTTGAGGGCCCTCAATCTATCTAATTGCATGATCGATTCATTGCATTCTTTGACCAGATGTCCTCTGCCTGCTATTTCGGCTCTGAATCTGCGATCTAATCGACTAATATCAATTGCTGGCATTGAACGACTTTACCCTCTGGAAAGATTAGATCTTAGGGATAACAAAATGACAGATCCAACCGAGTTGGCAAGATTGACGGGAATTCCGGACTTGAGAGATATCTGGGTCCTCGGAAATCCATTCGTCAAGACCCATAGTGGCTATCGTGTTACCATTTTCAATCTATTTAGGAAAGCACCCGGTTACACAGAGGATATCGTCATTGATACCTACGGTCCTGGGTACAGTGAGAGACGCCAACTGGTTGAGCGAGTTGCGGAAAAACCCAACGTTCCAGTCGTCAAGCCAGTCTTAGATTATGGCCTGAGCTCTGTGGGTGTCAACAAACCCATTATTGATTACCCCATCCCGCAACAACCTGTAGTTCTACGCAAGGAACGCCCGCAGCCTGGGCACGCAACGAGTGAAATACACACCTCATCCACAGGGCGAAGGCGGAGAACGCAGAAAAGACGTATTGTGGATTTGTCGAACTCGGACACTTCGCCCACGAAGGAACCTCCCGCAGTGCGATTCTCCGCAGAAGAACAAACACCGGTTCCGGCAATTGCAGATATAGGTTACGATACAACCCCTGATCCATCACCGCGAACTGTTCCTACATTCCCATCTCCGGAACCACGGAAGGCTCAAAGTCAAGTGGAAGTACCGCGTATAGATACGTCAATCGTACCTCGCTTACCTCCCATTCAAACGCAATCCCCAATACAGACGCAGTCGTATGAACCCTCAGGGAAGCTACAGGATTCTAACGACCCTCAAGACTGGAGGGTCGGTGGTGAGATGTACAGAAAGAAGTTGGAAGCCTTGCGAAGCGAGGTTGGTAATGGCTGGCTCAGCGTATTGAGCGAAGAAGGCTGGGAAACACAAAAGAATTCCCAAGCGCCCGATTTTTCGGCTCCGGACTTCAATTCAACTAATGCTATACGGCCGAGTCCCATACCAGCTCGAGCCAACAATGAACAAACCATCCACAGTGGCCGAAGATTAGGATGAGATTCTTCACCACTTAACCACGACTCAAAGCCCATGTTGTGACATTGAGACCACGTTTTTACTTAGGTGGCTAGCTCCCGTTGGGGAATACGCAATCGTCGTTGTTCTGGGGTTGCGTTGGAGGAGCATTTTTCTTGATACCCTCGTCGCTGTTTCGAAGTTCTCATTTTACTTGGTTCTTCATGTGACTTTGCTTCGTTTTTTGCTGGTCTTCAAAAAGGCTGTTCTTGCTGCATTTTGCTACTTTACATTTTGCGACATTGGGTGTGTTTTTGACATTTTTTTTCTCTTGCTCGTCGGTTCATTATTTAGTCATCGATGCATAGCGTACAGGTTTTGGAGGGGTTCATTCATCATCTTTTTTCTTCTTTATGCTGGATTCTACTTTTTTTGCCTCTCTTTATCTTTCATGAGATTATGAGGGAAAAATGCATGGTAGACCATGCGGTGTTATGTAGATGTGAATTTTCTTTTCATTTTTCCTCGTCTTCTGGAGTTTGAACTCGTATGAGTTGAGATGAGCTAGCTGTTGGGGGAGATGAAGTTGAGGTGTAAAATAGGGGTTGGGTTTTCGTTTTCGTTTTTTCTTCTATTTGAGATTTTGGGGCTTTTGATATGGGAAATGATTTGGGTAGGGGGGAGTGAGTGGCGTCGTCTTTTTTTTAACGATTAGCAAGCATAATTCTCTTCTCGACTTTTTTTGTGATGTATATGCATGGGAGGGGATGGGACCTTGGGTCATGAGTGGATGGTAATGAAATGAATGGAATGGCATATTTTTGAACATGAAATCTTTTTGGTTTATTATTTTCTATTGTGAACTCTGATTTGTGATTTGATGATTTTTTGACGAAATATTTGGAATGACCAAGTCGACAAACTCATCGCTCTACCTTCCATCTTCTGCTGGAAATTCCATCTCTTGCAGGCGCGTCTCAAGTCCAACCCATGTGAATTGGAGGGGTAGGGCGTTTATGAATCAAAGAGATGGGAAGTTACTGCTGCGGTGGGTGATGGATGTGTTGGAAAGGTAATGTAATGTAATGTAATGTATTGTACTCGGTGACCCTGAACCTTGATCTACCCTACCTAGCCTTACCTAGACCATAGGGTACTGTATGTAGGTACTGGATATCTCGTGTTACCATGTGATTGATTGGGAATGGGGCAAAAACTTGGATGAGTGAATGAACAATAGACATGTTGGAAATAATAAATGCTGGTTTAGTTCTTGGATTTGGGTTATTGGTTGGGAATTGGTGGTACTGTATGTTTATGTCGATTTACGAGAAGAAGTGATGTACGGTAGGTAGGTACTGTACTTTCGCAATGCAAACAGGCCACTCCTTGTACGTGGACGTGGATGGATGGATCTACTAAGGCACCTGCACCTACCTATACACCTGCAGCACAGCACACTTTTTAGGTATTTTGCACTGTAAGATTACTGGGGAGAAAGCGAGTAAGGTAGGTAATTTGTTGGGAAGTATAAAAATTCCTGGGAGATGGGGCTAAGGGGATGGATGTGCTGTGCTGTGTTGTTCGTTCTACGGTTTCCAATCCTGTGAATGTGTTTTTTGCGGAGAATTGATGGGGCGGGAGGTTGGTTGGTGGGTGATGGTTGTGATTCAGGTTTTTGATTTTTTGATTTTTTTGGTTTTTGTTTTGAGGGTGTTGCTGTTGCTGCGTAGATGGGGGTTTTTTTCTGGGGGTAGAGGGGGAGGTTGTGAGGTTGTGAGCGAGGGCGTTTTCTGGGATTGGTGGTGCGAGTGGCCAATGGAGTGGGTGGTGTGGTGTTGAGGTGTGGGAATGTAGGTATTTCAGGAGAGGTGGGGGAGATGGGGACGGAATGGGATAGGATAGGATAGGATAGGATAGGATAGGATGGGATAGGATGGGATAGGATGGGATAGGATGGGATAGGATAGGATAGGATAGGATGGGATAGGATAGGATGGGATGGGATGGGATACTTTTGGTGTGGTGCTGGTGTTGAAGCAGCGTCCGTATGAGTAGAGTAAATTGTATGGAAATAGCAGATGTTGGCCAATAGACGCTGGCAAGGCTTGCAGCGGCGGCAAGGTGCGTGTAGGAGTATCGGAGGGTACCAGTAGAGTAGGTGTATGGAGTAGGTAAGCCAGCCCAGCCTACCTAGGTAGGGAATCGGCCACTCACTCCAAAGACCGGCTTGCTCCTGCCTGCCCTGCCCTGCCAGCCCTGCCTGCCCTGCGACCTGGAACGTCGAGGTCCTCTTCCCTTCGACAACGACGAAGCAAGACGATCACAACGACTCCCACTACGGCCCTCGACGACGACAACAGATTCATCTGCCCCCTTGGACTCTTCACTGACGACGATACTTGTACTCGTACCCGTGCGGTGTCATTTCTGGACCTTCATCTCCCTCTCCGGCATTCTCACATAGCATTCCTCGCCTTGTTGAGGGCAGCCAGAGCCAGAAGAGACCACCGGTGCCAGTCCACGGCACTCGCACCAGCCGCAGCCCAACTTTCCTGGGCGCTGGTTCAACCACAACACGAAAAAAAGCCACCCCTTTTGGCTACAACAACACCATCCGCGACACTCCTCCACTCCACTCCTCGACATCGACATCGACACCGACATTCCAGGTCCCCGGCGAGTCTTGCATTGTAGCGTGCACCGCCTGTCCCATTGTTCTGACACTCCCGACGACGCGGCAAGAAAAAAAAGAAGCGCCCGAGCTGCCCTACACGACACTACCTACGGCACGCTGCCAAAGCGGAAACGCAAAACCGCGCTTGTCTGATCCAACGCAAAATCCACCAAAATCCACGAAGCCTTCACGAGCCCCCCCAAACCACCACCTGCACCCCCACGAAGCATTTCCATCCCCGCGCCCAAGCACCGCGAATTCCCATACGATCGTTGCCAACGGCACCAACGACGACGATACCCACCATCCGGTCTTTCTGACCTAAACGGTGATCCCTGCCTTCCGCCGCTCGTTTTTCTTCCGGCTCAACCACAACAGAGGCCGCCCCATACCAGCAAACTTCAGTGCGACGCGGCTTTCTGCAGACAGCCCCTCTAGAGGCCGATTACACTTCGCTGTAAGTTGATTCAGAGCGCATCGAGCGTGTGTGGCATGATGAGTAGAGGCGTGGAGAGGGAGGGGCCTTTTCACGCCCATCATCAGCCTCCCTCCACCTCATTCAATCATGCCAGACATACATACAATATGACTAACTCCCAACGCGTTCACAGGCCCAGAAGTGAATCACAGTCCTCCCGCCAGCGGAATCGAATCACGGAGCTGTCGGAAAGAGCCCTCCTCATAAATTGCGAACCACATCCTCTCAGCCCCGTCACCTTCTCCCCACACGAGGCCAGAAGTCATGGCGGACCAAAACGACGTAGATCTCGATTCCATCATCGATAGACTATTGGAAGTTCGCGGAAGCCGTCCAGGCAAACAGGTTCAGCTTTTGGAAGCAGAGATCCGTTATCTATGCACCAAGGCTCGAGAAATCTTCATCTCGCAGCCCATTTTATTAGAGCTTGAGGCGCCCATCAAAGTAAGCAATCATGCCTCCCTCGCATTCCTGACCATGTTCAACAGCCGCCGCCCGCACAATCATATGCTGACCTGGTCGCGTGCCTACAGATTTGTGGTGATATTCATGGTCAATACTATGATCTCCTCCGTCTTTTCGAGTACGGTGGATTCCCTCCAGAGGCCAACTACCTGTTCCTTGGTGATTACGTTGATCGTGGAAAGCAATCTCTCGAGACCATCTGCCTACTCCTAGCCTACAAGATCAAATATCCCGAAAATTTCTTCATCCTGCGTGGTAACCACGAGTGTGCCTCAATCAACCGTATCTACGGGTTCTACGATGAATGTAAAAGAAGGTATAATATCAAGCTTTGGAAGACGTTCACAGATTGCTTCAACTGCTTGCCAATTGCAGCAATCATTGATGAGAAGATCTTCACCATGCACGGAGGGTTAAGTCCTGACCTGAACTCCATGGAGCAGATTCGCCGTGTCATGAGACCCACTGATGTAAGTCCATTTTCGTATCAACTAGACATTGACGTGAGGGGATAGGGCGTGAGCTCTTGCTAATCCATGTAGATTCCTGACTGCGGTTTGTTGTGCGATCTCCTCTGGTCTGATCCCGATAAAGATATCACCGGATGGAGCGAAAATGATCGAGGTGTGTCTTTCACATTCGGGCCTGACGTAGTATCTCGATTCTTGCAAAAGCACGACATGGATTTGATCTGCCGAGCACATCAAGTTGTCGAAGATGGCTACGAGTTCTTTTCCAAACGACAATTGGTCACCCTCTTCAGCGCACCCAATTACTGTGGAGAGTTTGATAATGCAGGAGCAATGATGAGTGTCGATGAGAGTTTGTTATGTTCATTCCAGGTTCGTTGTTCCGTAGTATATATACTCCCAAGACGCTTCTCGATGCTAACCTGCATTCCACAGATTCTGAAACCAGCGGAGAAGAAACAAAAGTACGTTTACGGTGGTCGTGGTGCCAGCAGGCCCGTCACTCCTCCGAGGAAAAAGAAGTAAGATGAAATGAACGATTACGAACTTTCTTGTGTATAGCAGGTTCGGACGCAGATAAATAATTTCGCGATTTCCTCTCGAGTTCCCCGAAATAGGTATCGCCAACGCGCTCGAACCCTCCCGTTGCCAACTTTACGAATTCCTCCAAACTCGATCTCGATCGCCTTTTCATCAACATACCTAATTTGCGCGTTTACGTTTCGTGGAGCCTGCTGCGAACGAAGTATCCCGAGTGTACACCAAACTTTTCTTTTCACCACGAGTACGACCAACGAACAATTACGAACCATCCCAAATCGCGAGACGAAACCAACGACTTTTTTCCTACAATTAGCTAGCAACAACCACCATTGAGCAAATCAAAGACCAACAGATCGCGCGGGCGAGAAAGACAAAAAGAAATTTGTGGGTATGGGGGCGTAAACTTGGTGGTTGTTCTTTTCTCTCTCTCGCTGTTTTTCTTCTCGATTTGGGGGGTGTGAGTGTGTGTGGTGAGAAGCGGGGTTACTTTGGTTTATAAGAATCATGGGTGTGGTTTGGTGATTTGGCTTGGTTTCTGGACCTTTGGACTTTGGTGGGAAGGGATGGTTCGATTGATCTTCTTTTTTGCGTGTATATGAGATTACGATGTTCACCCGAGATGGCTGCTCCTACGGAACTACTGGTTGCTTTGTCTGTGTAGCTCAATCCCAAATAAAACCTTTATCGATTCCGTAATTTTTTTTTTCTTTTTTTAGTTTTTCGATTGTCATTATTTGAATGGGCTATGGCTGTGGTAATGTATGGGGAGAGGTTTTTATTGAGGTTTTCCATCTCTTCTCAAGATAGACGTCCAGGTTCTGGTGAACTTGTTACTATTGAACTGAACTGAACTGAGTCAGATTTGAGTTTTTTCGGTTAAGGTAAGATGATTTGGATTTGATTGAGAGGTAATTAAGTTCCAGGTTTTTAAGAAGGTGATTTGAGAGGTGAGTAATTGTATACGGAGGTATGCTACTTGTTTTTGGAGTGAATGGTGAGTTGCTTGGGATGTATGTATTGTGTTGTATTGTGTTGTGTGAGGTGAGGGTGTGGGTGTAAGAGTGTTGAGGGGGAGGGAGGGGTTGGAGTTGGAGTTGAAGAGAGAGGGAGGGAGGGGTAGAGAGAGGTAAGCCCTGTGCTACTGTATCATTGCTTTCACTGCTAGATAAGTGGATATGGGAACTGATCTCCTTTTTTGGGGTGAAGGAGGGGGTAGGGGGTAGGGGGT